CAAGGGGGGACGATGGATAACAGAGCGCGGATACGGGTCAGGATGCCTCCCGGGCCAACGCTCTCTGCCTCTGTCCCGGCTCCGTAATGGCTGGTGGGCCTCGCGCCTCGGTGCTAGGTGCGGGGCTAGCCTAGCCAAGTCTTTAGCTGCAGACTCCAGTCTCGCCACCCAGGCCTGCATGTCCGGGCCGAAGAGGGACATCTGAGAGGTGGGCAGGTCCAGCAGCTGCCTCCTCTCCGCCTCCCTGATATTAGCCAGCCCAAGCCAAAGGTGCCTGGCCCGACTTGGGCTGCTGCCATGGAGCGGCCACCATCCACAGCTAGCGTCTGGCACATGCGCAGAGTCGCCGCCGAGGTGGTCCTCGCCTGTGACAGGAGGTCTCCACTGAGCGCCTGGTCAGAAGAGAGCAACATATCCAGGGCCCCCGTGATGAATGCCATGTAGTTAGTCAATGCGAGGACCTGTGCTGCAATGGCATAACATCTATCCGGCATCGCCAAGACATCCTGTCTCGCTCGGAGGGAAGGAGAGGTCTGGTGCCGGGCCACACGAATGCGGAGGGCTGCAGGGCCATGCGGACTGAATCCTCGGTGTCCTGGCCACCATCCACGGCTAGCGTCTGGCACATGCGCAGGATCGCCGCTGAGGTGGTCCTCGCCTGTGACAGGAGGTCTCCACTGAGCGCCTGGCCAGAGGAGAGCGACCTATCCAGGGCCCCCGTGATGAAAGTCATGTTGTTAGCCAATGTGACGACCTGTGCCGCATTGGCATAATATCTATCCAGCCTCGGCAAGACATCCTGTCCCGTTCGGAGGGAAGGAGAGGTCTGGTGCCGGGCCACACGGATGCGGAGGGCTGCAGGGCCATGCGGACTGAATCCTCGATCACCGGTCCAGGACCAGTCCTGCCCGCTGCAGTATATGTCGTACCCCAGAGCAGGCCTCTTGGCTGCTAGGGGCTTAGGCCACTCACGTGTCGCGTAATGGACGAACGGGTCCATCCGCGGGCACGGGTTGCATCCTCCTCCTTCCTCGAGTGGTGGCACCCACAGAGGTGAAGTCCTCCACCGTCTGGATCCAGTGACGACGTCCGACGCCGGAGGGCGAAGGGAACTCGGACGAACAAGGAAGACATCTCAGAATGAAGTAAGTACTGTGGTAGATCTCGAACGGCGCCAGAGTGAAAGAGGGGGTGCGGCCTTGTGCAGGGGCATTTATAGAGGAAGGTGGCTGGTGATTGGAGCAAATTATTTTGATCTCTCTGGCGTGTGACCTGGGGGTCACGAGTGATATCCCACTAGCGAAGTCCTAAGGGACGTAGCACCATGACGTAGAACCTACTGCTTTCATAAAGGAGGATTTTGTGGGGATTTTAGTGTCCCTTGTCATCCTGAACCTTTTTTTTCTTAAATCCTTCGGTTTTCTTTAAATCCACATTTTAGTGCCACAAACTCTGCCCGTCTGGCTCTGGCTCTAACTCCCGCTCTGATGAACTGCTCTGATTGGTCAGAGCGCGGCCGAGCCCCTCTGTGCACGTGCGTAAGACCCTTTTGTGAGACCCACACACGCGTATTTGTACAACGCATCATGGGAGATCATCCACTGCGCAGAACCGGGAGGACCAGACGATGCCACAATACAGGCGAGTTTCCCATGGATCTTTGAGAGTTCCAGGCGATTTCCGCTATCTTTCAGCCCCCATACCGGCACAAAGCGCCACTGAGCACACCCATTCATTTGAAAACTGCGCCATCTTGGATCGCCGGGGCTTAGCTGTTAGCTACAGTAGCAGAATGTAAACAGGAAACTTAACTCGCACAAAGCGGTGGTCACTGAAGTTAGTATTAGCGCCACCAGCTGGACCGAGCGTTTTACTACAGCAGTTACTCTGACACGGTTGAAAGAACAAGCATGAAAACCCAAGGAGGAGGCTTTTGTAAAAGACTTTCTCTGTTATATGTATTTAGAGAAATCATTGGTTTTAAAATTATGATATTTCATGTAAATAATGCATGTGTTTAATACGATTTGATATATTTGCTATGGCCCTTGTTTGTGCATTTGAAGTTATTTTGAAGGTGCATTGTGTCACTGTAAGTGAAGTAATTAGAAAACTGTTAAGTTGCATTTTCACTATTTTACAATGGCAGGGCCATCTCGTTTACAAGCATGTTTTAAGATAAGATGAGATAAACCTTTATTAGTCTCACAGTGGAGAAATGTCAGTGTCATCGTTGCACATTACAGCAGAGAAAGGAAATAAGAGCACTCAGATTGCACACATCAAAGTCTATTATTTAAGATAATAGACAATAAATTTAAGATAAAATAAAATAAGAAACTCTGGGCTATAATTGCACTTGGTTCGGAGTATTTACAGATGTCTATATTATACATTAGCAGCGGAGAATATGAATATGAGCAGAATAAACATCAGAAATAATATCAACAGGTAAAGTGACTTGAATGGGAGAATTATCAGATGGATATGAATAATACAGTAAGATATCAACAGGTAAAGTGACGGTGAATGGCAGAATTATCAGATATGAAATAATACAGTAGTACTGATAACAGTAAATATCAGATATGTAGTACTGTAGTAGTACTGATAACAGGTAAAGTGACTAGTGACAAAGTTACTGGTGAATTATCAGTGACACACTGCAGACTCAGCAGATCCTGTTACACATTCTCGTTGTACAGTCTGACAGCAGCAGGAAGCAAAGACCTGCGAAACCTCTCCTTCACACAGCGAGGGTGAATTAGTCTGTCACTGAAGCTGCTCTCCAGAGCAGAGAGAGTGTCCTGCAGGGGGTGATAGTCATAGTCCAGCATAGATGTTAGTTTGCTCAGGACCCTGCTGTCCCCCACCTGCAGCACTGTGTCCAGGGAACAGGCTCATTTCCTGTTACACTTATGCTCCATGGGGATTTAGATTAAACTGCATAAATGAAAATCTATTTCTTTGTCAATTGTAGTTTGTTTTTAAATAGAAAAAAAAATCGATTAAAATCGGATTCGGTGTGAAAAAAGCAGATTTTTTTTTGTTTGTTTTTTGTTTTTTTGCCATATCGCTCAGCCCTAGTGCTTTGCGGTCCAAAGTTTTTGCCATATTGATAAAGTAACAAAGAAAGTTAGTTTTCAGTTTGTCCTGGTATGGGCTACGAGTCTGATGACTAGCGCCAAATGTTTGTTGTGAGTTGTAATTAGCCTAAATATTGAAGAAAGACGCTTTCCGTTATCACAGGTGTGAATAACTTTGCGCTGAACGTTGCCGAACAGGTGGTCGGTCCTACCAGCTTGTGGCACCACAGGCCTTGTCTTGCACAAAAATGTCTCAACAGATTTACACATTTAAAAAAAAAAAAACATTTTCAGCAGGAAAAAGTTGGAATGCCGCAGATCTGCATAACATTTTCATTCCTGGTTTAATAAAAAAGTTCTATTATTGCACATGAAAACTTGTGTGGTGTTAGCATTCTAGTTGTTGTCAGCAGTGGTTGCAAAACTCTGCTCTGGTTTCTGATAGTCATGAAATGTTCTCTTAAAGGATGAATACTGGTTATTATTGCATTGCTATCATAGACTGTAGCACTAGCAAAAAGGCAGTTTATCGTTTTGCTGGGTCACTAATGACTTATGTAGAGTAGAGTAAACATGCCACATTCTGATGGCCCGTCCCAATTCTCACCCTTTCCCTTAAAAAGCACCCTTGCCCTACATTTTGTGTGTGCCCGCGGGGGTTGTAAGGTGTCCCAATACTTAGGGAGAAGAGGCGAGGGCCCTCACAACCTTGAAAAACCTTGCATTACTATAGTTGATGAAGTAGCAGTCGGGCAAAGCCACGCAATAATTAGAAAACAACATGTTTGTGGTGAACGTGTGGAGTCATTCAGAAGTTTTTTTTAAGTGTGTTTTGTTGCCTTGTGTGGTGACGCTCACTCGCAAAGCAGCTTTAGTGTGTGGCATTTACTGAGGCTTCAGAGGACGTGGTGTATGTTAATATTATAGATCCGTCATGTAGTTCAGAGCATCGCTTTGACAGGAGCTGCTTTGTTATCCGCGGCTGTACTCGTCTGTCTCTGTGTGAGGGTACTTGTGTGTCTGTCTGTCTCTCTGTGTGTCTGCGTACGTGTTTGTGTGTGTGTGAGTGTATGTTAGTGTGTGCGTGATATGAAGCAGTCTTGTACCTAATTATAGCAAATTTTCTCCATATGAAATACAGTTGAAAATGTCTCACTTTAATAAATACTTTGTTTCATAAAGTCATATCTGTCTCAGATCTTATCTATGGTGAGATCAGACACATCAACATTGTGTGTGACGAGGAACACGTTTGCTGCGTCGATTTGCATATTGTCCCCTAGATCCATGGGTGTCCCATTTCTTAGGGAGAATATCCTGAAAGTGCACTCCCCTATGGGAGGGCACTCTTCTGCTGAGGGCACTTACAACTCTAGTGCCCTCAGAATTGGGACAGGCCCTTAGATTCTGAAATGTTCTCCACTGTAGAACGAATAAAGGATCTCTTAATCTTAGAGCCTTTCTGTGGCAAAATTTGACATTCAAGTGAAAACAGACTGCAGTAAAAAAGAAAAATGTGACAATGACATACAGAAAATTTTAATCTGAATGACCGAGCACTGAATCCTGAACAAGCCAATTTGAGCCTAATAGATTCCTTATTTCTTATTCCTTATTTGTTCTGACAAGGGCCAGACGTGTTGCTAAGACGGTTCCTAAGGCAAGCTGGAGTTTACTTCTACTTCTCTTACTTCTACTGGCCACAGTAGAGGTAAGAGTAGTAAAAAAACTGCATATTAGATGTGGATTGACCAAGTGCTGACGTCGCCATAGTGCTCACCGTAGGTGGAGGACGCCGATTTGAGCGTAAGCTAGCTGGAGCCTGTTTCCTTATAATACATGGGCATTTGTTCCTACAAGGTTAGCTTTAACTCCAATAAATGAAGGCATCTTAATGGCCAACACTTATATGGCTCATATCTGGATACAAAGAATACAAAATCAATTAAAAAAACAAGATCGCTGAACCATTTTTTTAAGGTAAAATTGGCTTTCTTATTGGACTTCATTGAGATAGAGCATTAGCATTGTCCTTCCATACACAGTCTATGGATAAGATACATCTTCTTCACAGACAACAAAACATATGGAAGACTGCATGTGTTTGTTGCACTGACCAGTCTGAAGATCTTGAAGAAGTCCAGGTTTGCGTAGAGCACGTCCTCGATGGTCTGCAGGCTCTGTTGGCTCAGGGCGCACATGGCGTTCCTCACACTGTGTAACCCACGACGACTGGGAAAGATCAGGAACCTCTCCATCAGCGCCTGACTGCACGCAATGTCTTTGAGCTGCAGGTCCGGGATCCCATACGCAAACTGGAATCAAGACCACCAAAGAAATCAGTTGGAAGACAGTGAGGAGAAGTTCGCAACTAACATGGAGGTTCACCACAAAACGTAGAATTTAGAATTGTCTGGACGGTGGAGTATATTTGGGGCTCCTTATTTAGTTAATAACTGTTGCTATTAATTTGAATCTTGATGTATTATTATTATATATTGTTTATTTGGCTGAGACAGTACATGTTAATGAACACACCTCTCCATGTTGTAGCCTTGGGCAAATTTCCATTTGTCGTCCCACAGATGCTCTCAGAAGCACACACTCATTCACCCTGATTGTACATGTTTTAAAGGCCCTGGCACTGCCAATGCCTATGGCATTAACATATAGCTGTGGACATTTTATTGATAAAGACAGAATGATGGATTAACCATCTAAATCTATTTCAATTACATTAAATGTATTTTTGTACTGCTGCGTTTTTTTCCCATTCCAGGGGGATGATTTCTCAAAGTTCCTTGAATCATTTAAAAACTTTTTGTTGTTGCATAAGACAGAAAATAAAAAGTTTTGTATATTTGGCCGCATGATTAATCATAATCGGAGCATAATCTAAACGTTTGTGGAGGAAGAGACTGCAATCATTTTAGTCCTTTGCAAAAAAGTTGCATTCAAAGACAAGAATATATCTAAAATTGCATAAAGTAAGGGACAAATTATGTTGCTTTTGATGTGAATATTTGTAAATTACCAGCATCTTCATCCTTCATATAAGCACAGTCGATTTTTTTATTTTTTTTAATCATTATTCATATTATTTTATAAATGTCTTTTTTTTGCTTGTTCCAACTTCAATTGACATTTGCTTTAAGACAATGTCGATGTAGGAGCAGCGTTTTAAAGACTGCTGAAACCACTTTAAGCAGAGAATCTTTTCTTCATTTGAGTTTCTATAATGTTTTTGCAAGGTATTCTTATGGGCAAAAATATGGTTTTAGTTAAAATTATGAATGAATAAATGTATATGTATGTGTTTTGGTTATGCAAGCTAGTTTTAACAAATCTCATCAATGACATGTTAATCAAAAACCTCTTACTGCCAACAACCAAACCACATGTGACCCTTTTTAGTGGTCCTTCAACTGTTTTCAATTATGATACACAGATTTGTCTGTTATTACGACTACTATGACATATTAAAGAAATTAAGCTAATCTTATCATTATTCTATTTTTAGATATAGTTAAATACAGTGTAAAATAAATGGTGTATATAACAGGGCAAGGAGAGGCAGGACAAATGTATATGTAAAGTACACTTCATTTACAAAGTGCTTTACAAAACAAGAAAATAAACATTAAACAATCACAGTACATAAACAAACAGTAATAAAATCCTTCAGTTGTATGCACAGCTAAACCTGGATATGAATATTGTCAGTGAAGCCTGTCTCTGGGCACCGGCAGGGGGGCAGTCCCTGTGCTCCTCCAAGTTTCAGCAGGAAGCCAGTCCCTGTGCTCCTCAGAGTTTGAGTGGTTCTTATGGCACTACCATTACAACATCTCTTCACCTTTGGCCCTGATTTAGTTGAATTCAACAGTAACTACATTTTCAGAATAAACACCCAAATGTCATTTTGTCAGATAATGGATAAGGGAGTACTTTAGTAAACATTACTTTATATTGTAAAGAAACACAAGTTTTTTTCTTTTTCTAACTTTCCACTAAAATTAACCACTTTTATTGTTTTGGCCCCTACCAGCTGTTACTTTTAAATTTGGCCCCATACCAAAATGAGAATGACGGCTAAAAGGGTCTGTACCTGTTCGAGCCGGATCCGTGCGTTGGAGAGCTGGTACACCACAGACTCTGTCAGGTGCACGTCCCTCAGTAAGTACGATGTGAAAACTTCATCATCTTTCAAAATGTCTTCTACCTTCAGACCACGACCTGAAGACATATGAAGAAGGAACAGACAATGGGACATCATTCATCCACTCTTTTGTCAAGAGAAAAAAACATTGTTAAACTTCTGCATTCATGTGTATGTATTACTATGGACAGTGTTTGTCCCAAAGCGGCAAACTGACTCACAGGGCTCTTTTCTACTTTTGTTCTAATGAGATAAAGACACCACGTTGCAGTTTGATTTATTCACAACAATTTACTTTAATCAAACTTTTTTTGTTGGGATAAACAACTTGCATTTTCTATTAAACAAAAAAAATTAGGTTCCCCAGCTTTAACTTTATTAATACCCCTCATTGCAACTTTTGTTACAGTATTTCATGATTATTTTTAATTTTTAAATGTTAACACTAAGACTCCGAGAATTCCCAGAATTCTTCAGCTTGAACTCCGAGAACCGTCATCAATAGTGGGAATTCCTCCAAATTTGTGTTAGTTCTCAATGAGTTACCAAGCAACTGAAAAGGGCCCCATTTGAATTTTACATTCAAATGCATGGAAGTTCTACCGTTAGAGTAAAAGAAATAATGACATGCAAAAAACCTAAACATAGAAACAAGTCACAAAGTAAAAGTGCAAACACCCACATCGACTGCTCTGTGAGTTCTGGTGTTTACATAACATTTATTCTACTGTTATGAAGTTAGCAGTGCAACATGTCTGAAAGAGGATAAACAGTAAAACAACTGTAGGGCCAAGAAGCTGCGATGGAAAAGGCCTCAGCACACGTAACAAAAGCCGTCAGTAAATACGTGTTTCGTACAGCTGACATTTGTTGATGTTATGTTTTGAATGCATATCTCATTAGTGAAAGAATGTCGTTGGACCTGACACTGAAGAGGGGTTGTGGCGAATAGTCTCCATAAAGTCTGAGAACGAAGACAGTTCAGTCCAAATCCGCCGCAGCTGATGGACGTCAGTGTCTTTTAGGACCAGCTCCTGGAGGTCTGCGTAGAAACGAGCCAGTCTGGAAAACACCAGGAATGAAATCAGAAAATATGCAAAAGTATCTGTGGGTACGCGACGCATTAATTGAATTCAATTGTGTATAGCCCTAAATCACAACAGCGTTAAAGTTATCCATTCACCAACGACAGATAAGAGAATTAAACCGTTCGAACACAGAAAATGGTATAAATACAAACACAGGAGCCATTGGTTCATAGGGAGCATGACCAATGTCCATAAATGTTAATATTAATGGCTTATTAACCGAGCGCAAGGTCTGTATGGAGAAATATCAGACCGCGGCCTTAATGTACAGACCAAGCCGTGGCGAGGTCTGTGCAAAAAGGCCAAGGTCTGATATTTCTCTCTACAGACCGAGCAAGCGAAGTTAATAAATGTTTTATTATATGACTCTCGTCTGTGTCTTTACCAATGCTTTTGAGATATTTGTGAAGTATGTTCATGTCCGACTTGGTTTTGTGTGATACGCGCTGCGGACAGATTGTCATGGTAACGGTCCGAGGAAAGATATCAAATGTGATACGCGCTGGTCGGACCAATTGTCATGGTAACGGTCCGAGATGGGAAAATATCAGACCGGTAATCAGCCAATCAGAGTGCGCGTACGGTCCAAGTCATATAATAAGCGTGCATACGTGCCTGAATCATCATAGACTAGGCATGTCCAAACTGAGACCCGAGGGCCAATTGCAACCAGCTGTGTCATTCTATATGGCCCTATGTCTTGCTAACCCAAAATACCATTGAGATTATAAACACAAGTTCATAGTGTTATCCAGCCAACTCCCGCTTCTCCGATACAGGCATGATGTACCTTATTGTAAATCTCAGAAGCTTTTTAATCCACTATTTTTTATACACTGATATTTGTTTTCCATTATTGCACATTATTGCTAGAAAGTGATTAAACTAACCTCAGCTCTTACAGATGTAATACACTATTTGTTTAAATGGTCATGTAAAACCTAATTAGCATCTCAAAAGAGTTTAATTCTAGTCAAAATAGTATTGGCCTGGATGGAATCAGGGCCAAGCAGGTACTAAAACAGAACCTGATGCTGGTTAAACAGGGCTGGTGGTAACAGTCCAAATCAGGGTAGTGAGTAGGGAGTGGAGTAGGGCAAAGTTGAGCTGGTGGAGACAGGGCTAAACATTTATTTTTGGGCTCTGTCACGTCATTCGATCAGCTTTTTCAGACAGAAAAGTGAAAATCACCCTCACTCAGACAATCAGCTTTCAACCCAAAGCATCACATAGTGACTCACAGGGTTCTTTCTTACTAGAATGCAAAAGATGTTGGGAGAACTATTACATTCTTCTGAAATAATAGAATGCATTTCAAAGTGGCAAGCGCAGAAATACAACGTTTAGGGTTCGTTCTCATTTTAAAATCAATACAAGAACATGTTCCAACTTCTGCATTCACGGCATGTGCTTGTTTGTGCGTCTCTGCCTTTGTATGCCTCAGACACATATTTTATGAATGTGAAAACAATGTGACAGCCAGACAGCCCCAAATAATGCCAGGGATCCAGGGGTCACCGGCCAGAGACAGAGGTCAGACCCCCCATGTTAAGGCGTTATTACAAAACACATCCACAGCCCACATCGCTCAGAACCTTAACGCATTTCTCAAACTCCAGACGGCAGGATATGAAAAATAAACACAACAACAGATAACCACTTGATCAATTGGTTTCATATGTTTTTTTGTTTCTTTTTTGCCAATATGACGGTCGGACAATATGACATTTTCTAACAGATATATATATATATATTTCAAGTTTTCAAAATCTAAATGAATTTCATTGTAGGCCTAAGAAAGACTTGACACGATGTTTTATATTATTATTATTACATATAAACAGTATTTAATATGCACTCTCAGAGGTCTAATAAAGTCAATACATCACAATCATACTTATTGTTGCCTCCTGAGCACAAATTACTGATGCAAGTTCAAACCTAACTGCTTGCTTAAATGTACAACACATGTGTGGTGCTATTTTTGTTTGAGAACAGAATATAAAACATTATTTAAAAAAATTATAATATTTTCAATGAAGAATAACTCCAGTCGTTACTTTTGTTTAGAAAGATAAACTATGATAGAATATACAGAAGTAAATATAACTTTAGATGAAAATATTATATTCTGTTCCCTTAAGAATGGCCAGTTTGCCCATATTCCTGCTCTCTATGGGCCGATGGCCCAGTATTTGTTATTATTGAGTTGAGTCTGAGTCCAGGAGTCCACCAGTGCATGTGGCACCAGGAAACCCGAGGCCAGAGGTCGATGATTGACTTTGTTGTCGTGTCATCTGAGTCTGACCTTCGGCCACTTGTCTTGGACACTCGGGTAGAGAGAGGAGCGGAGCTGCCAACCTATCACCACCTGGTCGTGAGTTGGATCCGCTGGCAGGGGAAGAAGCCGGTCAGACCTGGCAGACCCAAGCATGTAGAGAGGGTCTGCTGGGAACGTCTCTCAAAGCCCCCTGAACCTCCGGGAGAGCATCTCACGCGTCCCGGAGGAGGAATAGGACATTGAGTCTGAGTTTGTTGTGGGTAGGTTGCTAAGATACACTTCCAGATACTAAAGTGTAATAGAAACACAAACGAGTAGAGTAGAGTAGGGCCAAGTAGGACTGGTGGAAACTGGGCTTATCGTTAATCGTTAATCTTAATCGTTTTTTTATTTAATTGACATTTGTTTAACCAACAACATGTTTAAAACAGAGAATATAGAATTATCATGCAGATTGTTCACATTGGCACTCACAGAGAGTTGTTGTAGTTGGACACCACCCCAGGCCCCTCTGCTCGGGTGGGCTGTCGGAAACATGGGTTGTTAGCGTTGCAAAATATTCCCTGGATCCATGGCAGGATCCCGGCCGAGGGCATGGCTTTGTTTGGGAAGTGACCTGCAACAAGAAAACCACAACTAAAGTATTTGGAACATTTCTCAAGAAGTTGTATTCCTCTAGTTCCCCCATTTTATGCCCGCTTGCTTTAAAGACAATTATAGAGTATTTTTTTAGTATTGTTCCAAACATATAGAAATAACCTTGATCAATAATAAATGCTTTTATTTAGACAGAAAAATAATAGGAAAAAATGTGAGATGTGAGGAACAGTCATTTTGATGGCCCATTGATTTGAATGTAGAATTCAAATGTAGCCACTTTTGGTCACTTACCATAACCAAACCAAAACCATGCCAGTCCATGCTTGTCCTGGACTGGACCTGGAATAATTCGGTACTGGTTTTGGTTCTGAACAGCGTCCGCTTGGTTTTCTAAGAGCAGTGATAGTTACCGTAGCAACACAGTGTTTACTTGCAGCAGTTAGCGTTGTTCTGTATTTCAGTTTTATTTACCATTTTTAGCTCTTATCTAAAGTGAGTAAAGGTAAAAACCAAATAAATTACTTTTGATAAAAAAAATTAGGATTTTTTTTAGAATGCCATTCATTTGAGTGGGAGCCGTTAATATGGCTGCTCTGAGAGTTCTAGTGGTGTAATCCATATAATATTGTCCAAATAATACAAATGTAATTTTCTTACACTCATGCTGTTGGTACAGGGGGTTGGCGCTTCTCAGCCACACCAGACCAATAAATAAAACTGCCGGCCAGAGGATTTCAACCATGAAGCGAATCTAGATGAGAACACATCACAAACATGGCCACATTTAAACATTTAACAAACAAGTTAATATTACATCCTGTTTATTCATTAAAGTGAGAATAAATATGTTGCACTTGTGGTTAACTATATAAAGATTAATTACAAAGTAATTACAAAAATCTAATGTAATGGTTAATGAGAACAGTCAAATATTTCTTATAGAGCCCAAAATATTGAGAAAAGGAGTTTGAGAAAATAAAAAAGCAAAGAGAAAAGGAAGCAAAACTATAACATGCATTTTGTCCTTTTCATTGTTGACATTTATTGGAACAGTGTTTGTGGTTTCATTACAACAAAAACCAACAATATATTAGATTAGAATGATAGTGGCTGTGTGAAGCCATTTAGTGTCTAACAAACATGCTTCCTGTTTTCAAATGATTGTATGTGGGAAACTGGGGTGATCTTTGAGGCTGTGCAGGGCAGGGCCTGGTTAGTACTGTGATGGGAGACATCTGGGAACACCAGGTGCCACAGTGGGGCAGCTGCGGCCGTAAAGTGGCAAACTGTTGTTGTGTCCTTATGCAAGACACTTCACCCACACTGCCTAGAATGTTTCTGGACGGGCTAATGGCATATGCTGGTTGCCTTGCTTCTGTCAGTGTGCCCCATGGCAGCTGTGGCTACAGTTTTAATTTTATCCCCACCGTGTATGGGAATGAGTAGTGTCATGTCATGAATAGGGACATTTGAAGTGTCTTTGAGTGTACAGAAAAGCGCTATATAAAACAGAGGCAGTATTATTATTATTTTCTCAAAGATGTCATCTAAGGTAGCCCCGGTATTTATAGGAACTGGAGGCTTTTTGTCAAAAAGATTATGCAGCTTTACCTTTAGAAAAGAAACCACAGTCTGCTTCACCAGAGCAGACAGGTTGGTAAATCAGAGCACCACAGAAACACCACAGAAGAATGGTGAAGCAGGACTGGACTAGACCATAGGCCTGCATAGAACCAGACCACCCACTAACAGTAGGTGAAAAAAGTATCCTCTGTCCAACGCCTGTTAAAATTGTTTATTGTACTTTTTAGCTTGATTTATTTATTTACTTTTGTACATAAATAATATTCAAATGGGGTTTTACTGGGAAGAAATGGGAAAGAAACTGAATCTGAATCTAATTATTAGATTTCTCAATCTGCTATTGGCTGATGGAATAACCTCAGAGATGACTGATGTTCAAATTTTGGGTTATGTTGATGTTATGTTTTGAATTACTGTATAACTTTTCATAATTAACCTTAGCCAAATATTTAAAGACTGTGGTAGTTGAGAGGCAAAATGATTTCTTATGTGTGAATATTGTGAGAAAACATTTTAAAAACATGTAATGGAGTTGAAAATGAGACCTTTTGGCGTTTGCGCAGAGTCCAGTTCTTCCAGAGGAGCAGACGGACTTGAGAGCTGGTCTTCATCGCTCCACAGCCTGAAGCCTCCCGGGGTCATGGGACGTCAGCTCTGCACACACTTTCAAATACATATTTGTTCAAGCCATCCCAGCCATCCAAGTACTGTGCCACTTGAAAGTACTAATACTGTACTTTCAAGTGGCATTTCAATAGGAGGCCATTGAAATCATAAAGCGGGGCTACAACAGCATCAATCTGGGAGAAGGAGCTTTCCTCATTATGAGCATCAATAAGGCTGACCATGGCTACCCAGTAAGTAACATCAGCTGATAAATGACATGTCACTAAGACAGGTGACAGTTGTATAGATGGCAAAACATGTTACCAAGGTAATACATATAACTTGTCTTTCAAAAGAACCAGAAAAACAAGTACTATTGAAACATTTTTTCAGGATTACAACCATAAACATAATGATTTTATCTTGAAAAGATGAATGAAGCCAAATACAGTCACATTGTGGAGTAAAACCAGCTGGAGTCAGCAGTAGAGTTGAGGCTGGGGCAAAGATTCACCTTCCAGCAGGACAATGGCCCCAAAACACAAAGCTAAACCTACAATGGAACGGTTTAAAACAAAATAAATTCTCAGTCCTGTTACATTACACCGCTGCAAAGGGACTATTGATATAAATCTGCAGATGTGGATCAGCAAATCTATTCTGGTCTCTTTTCTCAGGCTAACAGAAGACTGCACTCACATGTCATTATTGTAGCACAATATTGCAAAAAATGCTGTATCAGCATTCCTACACTGTACTATCCAGGTGTGCATGTTTTTATGTCGACAAGTTTCTCTCATCAAGGTGCTTTGCAGGACATTGAGCGCTTTTATGTCAAATACATCTTAATTGTAACTGCTCCAAGTCGGTAATATTCAGACACGGCTTAAATGTATTTGAATCCATTGAGGTCAGCGGTCAAGAACATCCATTCAGTGTCATTCAGCCATTTAGTGTCAAATAAACGTGCTTCCTGTTTAAAATGATAACGTACGGGAATATGGGGATATCGCAAAAGTGCCTCTTCATGCAAGGCAACCCAGGAAATTACAGGGACTAATATGAAGCTTTAGCTTTAGAGAGGAAACCAGAGAGAGACAAGACCAGAGAGATGAGATGATTATGATTAGCTATGACAAATTACAGCATAAAAATAAGTCAACGACTGGACTCCAGAGGTTGTGAGCTTTATAACAGTGTACACCCTGTTACGGCTGAGCTGAAAGTTGGAAAATGACACAGCAGGCCAGAGTTGGCCTTAGTTTAGACAAAAACTGTTTAGAATATTGTTTTAGCTCAATATTGTGAACATTCACCATCTACACCCGCTCTCTCTTCAGTTGTTAACCAGTGTGTTTCAACATAAGGGACAAACGATAAACGAGATTAACGAGGGACAGGGTTTATAAGGCTTTTTTGTCTTCGTTCTGTTCCTATTTGTTTATGTTGCACAAATGTAAAGGGAATATACATGATGTAAGTATGTAATATGGCATGGACAAATAAATAAATAAATAAATAAGCCCTGTTTCCACCTCCTACTTGTCCCTACTCGTCCCTACTCTGCTCTGCTTTACCCTACTCTACTCAAGTCAGCTCTACTCTACCCTGATTGGAGACTTTTCTACTTTTTTATTACATGCTTAGCCCCATGGTTCAATCCAGGCCGAGCTGGTACTAAAGAGTAAAGAAACTATTGTTACAGAGGAATATCCAAGGATACTAGTTTTGTGGGTAGGTTGCTGTGATACTGTCCCAGATAAATGAAAGTTACGTAAGAGGATTTTCCCAAATTTTAGGAAAGAACTGCCCTCTCCACTTTTTGACCAAAACTCTCTGGTCTTATTGGGAGGACCAATAGTCTTGATGATCCACCCGGAAGTAGAAAATCCTCCAATTTGCCTTTAAGTGTAATGGGAACACACCCAGGAAGAGTAGAATGGAGTAGAGTGGAGTAGAAAAGCGCCAAGGAGGTCTTTACTCTAGAAAAGTAATTTGATGATGGAATCTTTGATTGCTTCGGCTAATTTATCTTAAACGTAATGTACATACTGATTACAAAGTACCTTTGAACGCCCTTTGTTAATAATACCTTAACAGAAAAATGTGTTAATTGATGAATAAAAATACCCAGATGCTTCTCACAAAACTAAAAATATAACTTGACCATTAAAATTACACTTTGAAAATATGTACACACACTTTTTAGAATCCCTTTCCAAACCCTCCTCATGCACCAGGCCTAATCCCAGATGGACCGAGAGAAATGTGGTTAGAGGCAACATGATGTGGTACAACAGATTAGAGCCAGGACATACACAAACTCCAAAGACACAAATGTATCAAAGAGGAAAAGACAAGACTCAAAACACTGTACATCAGTCAAATCAAAACCAACAATAATCCACAAATACTAAAATACACCTGTGATTTTGAAATGAATTATATTGAATCAACAATAATGTGCCGCGATACATGAGCCAGGATGCAGTAACACTTGCAGTAGAAGTAATCTAGCTTTCACTTAAGGGCATACGGTTTTAAAATAATGTGCTGTAAGATTGTCAGGTATATAATCCAGGTAGAGACTATGTAGAATATTCTTGTTTTGTGGCAAGGTAAGTTTATTTGAATAACACAGTTCATACAGAAGGTAACTTAACAGACCTGTTTTAACCTGGATTTAAACATTGTTAGAGAAGAAGCCAGTCAGACACAAATTTTCCCTGTGCTCCTCAAAGGTCTAGCAGGAAGCCAGTCCCTGTGCTCCTCAGAAACCGAGTTGCTTCAAATGACACTAATGCCACAGACGCACTTTGGTGTGAAGCCATTGAGAGACTTACAGAGCTGCTATTGAGCCAAGGAAGCCAGCGCAGAGACCTGAGAACCCCCCCACCACCACCACTAGGCTCCGTGATGCTGAAATAGAGGATAAACGAATACCCTTTGAATGTACTGTGTCAGCACTGATTGCTGAGGTCTGTTGCAATGTGATAAAAATGATCAGTGAGGGTGGTCGCAATTATATGTACAAGAATGACGGATAAAGTTCAACAGAACATTAGAGCTGGATTTTCCCCTGTATTTCACACTATCAGATGAGCGGCCATGAGACGTGAAGAGAAGGAGCACTTTTAAAAGCACCATATACCACAGTGTGGGCTGAAGACTGGATAAAGCAACTTCATTCAAAACATGTATATAAACATTTTTTTATTACATCAATATGTATGCAGGGTCTCAGATTTATGCAGCTAAAATTGGGAACAGTCTTCCTAACAATGTTCAAATCTAAGTTCAAAACAGGTCATCTAACTGTGCATACAACTAGGATTTTCAGTCTTTATGATCTTAATGTACTGTGATTATCTTAATAACTAGTATGATAGCAAGTACTTTCTTGTTTTGTTAAGCACTTGGAGATGCGTTGTGTATGAACTGTGCTAGCAAACAAACTTGCCTTGCCTAAAGCTTGGCACCAAAAAACCCTCTACAATAATTCAAATTAAAAAGGGTTGTTTGCAAATAAACAAAACAAGAACTTGAATTCCTAAGATATCTAATATCTAAGACTATTTTCTCTAGATTTTTTCAGACAGAAAAATTAAAAAGAGAGGTGTGCAATCTGTATTACCTGTCAATACAGTTTACACACATAAAAAAAAAACAATTAGATAGGACAAAGTAATATCATGACAAATGGTCTTACCTCTTTGAAAGTAACTGCAAAGTCCAATGGAATCCAGGTCTACACGAGAACACAGGGACTGTGAGTGCGCTCAGGTGTACAGTGAGTCATGGCTGCAGTTGTCAGTGCAGGTCAGTCCTAATCTGATTGCTCTAATCTCCAGCTCAACACAAAACACGGGTGGCCATTTTGAGGGGGAATTATGAGGATATATATACTGTCTATGGGAGTATCCGTAGCTGCTTCACAATACAGTGCTCTTGACAATGAGCTTGAAGAAAGGGACTATGGGGCTTCAGAAACATCTTTTCTTAATGTGATGTACTTACAAGTGTTATAAAGCAAATGCAACATTTTCCGATCATGTGTGTGCCCAAACAGAAAGAGTCAAATAAAAAAAATTTGAACACATCCAATCATGCAACTCATTCGAAAACCGCTATCCTTTGCATATTTATCGGACAGACATGTGAGTCAATATTTGACACTTTGGGGTCTTACAAACCGCTTTTAATAAAGGAACTGGCACCCCAAGGCAAAATTACTATAGGTCCAGTAGCTATGGTTTTGACCGTTTCAACGCTCCTCCTTGGTTTGACAGTTTCAGTGGTTAGCATGGATAGGCAATAACCATGGATCTATGGCGCTAACTTGCTACAGTACACATGATTCATCAATATTTCTTCAAAGTGTTGGGTAGTACATTGTTGCACAGTGCTGATGAATTTGATCCAATCCACTTTATTTATATAGCACATTTCATAAACACAGTTTCCAAAGTGCTGCACAATAAAATACCAATTAAAGAATAAGAATAAGAAAACTTTATTTTCCACCAAGGTGGAAAATTGCCTTTGGTTATCACCTTAAAATACATAAAAGACACACATCCAGCACAATATCATGTGGCACTACATTCACAGAACAATTGGAAGAACAAACCAACAAGGCCACCTCCGGCCTAAAGACAAGAGTCAACCTCAGGACTGCTCAAAGCTTAAGAGTGTTTACCGCTTTCACTGCTCTGAAAGGTGCTCCGCTCTGCAAAGAGGACCGTGGGCTGTGAGCTTCCTGTTCTGGAGGTTCTTTACAAATCCAGACTTTTAAACAAAGCTCTTAAAATCATCAATGACTCTTCTGGCGACCCTGGGAAAGCCATGTTCCAGCTTCTTCCCTCTGGCAGAAGATATCGGTCGCTGAGATGCAAGACATCTCGCTATGCTAACAGCTTCTTTCCACAGGCTGTTAGGTGCCTAAACAGAGCACTTTAATTCCTGCTTTTACCCCTTGTATCGTTTTGTTGATCAGTGCCACAGTGTCAGCTGTTTTTTTTATTATTTTATATTCAGTGTATGTGTATTTTATATTACATTGTATCGTGCTTTTTATTCTGTCGGTGCACACAGAGTACCTTTTTTTTGCAAATGTATTCCAATGTAGTTTTTATACTGCACATGGCCAATAAATGAATCTGAATCTGAATCTGGGCACTTTTTCTTAGCGATTATCACCCGATATCTCCGTCCTGACGGCAGAAGTTCAAACTTTGGGTTTAGCGGATGGGAAGCATCTTTAATGATGAGCTCAGCCTTCTTTCCCAAGCACTCCTCAAACAAACACTGGAGAGATCTTTGTGGCTGCCCAATGATCTTCGAGCTCTGGTTCACGATCCTTTGGAGTTTGTTTTGGTTCTTCATGCTGAGGTTGCCAAACCACATCAGCATGTTAAAGGTGAGTATGCTCTCCACCAGGCTCTTGTAGACCGTCTCAAGGATAGAACGACTCACACCAAAATTATTCAGTTTGCGAAGCAGATACAGTCTGTGTTCGTAGAAAAGGCAAGTCTCCCATCTATGTATGTGCCAAGGTATTTGAAGTCATTGACCATCTCAACATTGGCACCATCCATAGTAAAACAGTAAAATAATACAAAATCAAATATGAAAAATCGTGTCTGCATATATGTATAAATATAAAAATAACAATAGAAAGATGAAATGAAATAAAATAAAATGAAAATAAAAGGACCATACAACTCACGCAGGGTTAAAAGCCAGAGCATAAAAATGGGTCTTAAGACGAGACTTAAAGCACTCCACAGAAGGAGCAGTTTGGATATGGGGGGCAGAGCGTTCCACAGCTTTGGTCCAGCCACAGCGAAGGCCCTGTCCCCCCGGATTTTAAGTCTCGTCCTCGGTAACACAAGCTGGAGCTGGCCCTCGGACCTCAGCGTGCGGGGCGGATGGTAAATTTGGATGAGGTCCGAGATGTGAGGTGGGGCCAGTCCATTCAAAGCTTTAAAAACAAACAATAACATCTTAAAATTGATTCTAAAATGAACAGGAAGCCAGAGCAACGATGCTAGAATTGGTGTAAGCTAATCGAGCCTTCTGCTTCCTGTTAAAAGTCGTGCCGCTGGGTTTTGGACCAACTGCAGACGGGTGCGGGCATTATGCCCGCATAAAGTGCATTGCAATAGTCCAGGCATGAAGAAATAAAAGTGTGCATGACCTGCTCAAAAAGATTAAAAGATAAAAGTCGCAAATGATAATAGCTTGATGACGGCATCTGCAAGTGGTGAAAGGAGATCCATGGATTTGGATCATTTCTACAATGTTATCTGCCATTTCTGTTTCATGGTGAAATTGTCATAATTATTAAAAGTGGTGTGGCGTTTGCTGTGCACTCAAGTATTCAGAAGCTGCAATGATTACATTTGTCCACTATAGAAGTTAGAAAGTCCGGTCCTGCCCAGTCCTGGCCCAGCCCTGGCCCAATAATCCCAGTACTGGCCCCTGTCCTGGCCCAGTCCTGGCGCCAGTCCTTGCTCAGAACGGCTTATTTTATTAAACTTGATGGAAGTGCATCATTCATAGCTGTTATCACGGTCCATAAGAAACACTAGCAGTTTACTAGTGCGCTAAAATTACCCACTTTGGTAATGAAACCAACATGGCGGAGCTTTTACCTTTTCAATGTATAAATGTCTATATCTACTTATCCCTGTATTTATCTATCCACAGAACCTATATCTATCAAGCGGAAAGTATTTTAATTGCAACAAAGAATAGCCACATTTACAGCTATCTCTGATTAAATACCGCCCAAACACGTGCTCATAACGCAGCTGCTTGTTGACGTGCGGTGAGGCACTGACTTCATCACAATCAGATTTACACCATATCAACCATAGACTGTGAACATAAAATTATATAACTATAATAACATACAGAGCGGATTATTCACCATTTGATTGGCAACAGGGCTCCTGTGGACTCACCACCTGCAGGAGGATCAGTGAGGGGCTGGTGCAGCTCTGACTGCCACTCCCCCAACCCAGAAATGGATTAAGGGGAAGAAAATGGGTGGATGGATGGATGATTGGCAACAGCAGAATATGTGTCATGTCCGTATTCCGAATGATTTGCACATACAAAACCAAAAACATATAAAAAGCACATTTACAAGTGTTTTATGGTCTGGTGTCCTCTCTCGCGTTTTGCTTGCTGTTTGTTCCATAGACATACTGTTCTTACCCTTCACGTCCCAATCTTATAAAACTTTTGAAGCATAGCATTTGACTTAACTGGCACTTAAAACATCTTAAAGTGTGCTACATGTATGTTGGCCAAACCTGTAGCTGCCTTCAGCAGAGGAAGAATCAGGAGGCTTTTGGGTGCAGTGCAGGATGCAGCCGAATCCTTCTGTCACCACAGTGAGGCTCGCACCTATCGCCTCACAAGAAAAATATGAAGAAATTCTGCAGTTTCGAGGTAAAAACAAACTAAATACAGCAGTTACATAGAAATGACATGGTAAATAGTGAGTATTTTCTAGTTTGTATTTTATTTTATTTTTTCTTTCCATGATTGCCTGCACCTGCCTCTCCTAACCACACATCTCTGGCTTCTTTACACTCTTTGATTCAATAAATGTGCACTTCATTTATCTCCTTAGGGAACTTTGTCTTCTGCATTTGGCCCATCCTGATTCCACTAGGGCGCCTGTCAGGAACCCATCTTCAGACATTAATGCTTGGCTTGGTCAAGACTATCAGAAATGGAGAATATACCTATTGTGCATGGGTAAAGGAAACCAGAGCACCTCAAGGAAACCTACACAGACACTGGGAGAACATGCAAATTCCACTCAGAAAGGCCCTGTTCCGACTGGGATTTGAGGTTACTGTCACTTGAATAAATACATTGCTGATTTTACCCCAACAGTTGCATTTGTCTGTAGCTTTTATGACTGGGCAAAGCTTTAGTGAAAAGGTCAACACTTTGAAACCTAAATATAAAAGACAAAAATATTGAACTCCAAATGGGTTTAAAAAAACAAAAAAACAATTTAAGTTCCAAATACATTTTAATTTGCAGCACAGAACTGTTGCAAGTCATCTTTGAAACCACACAAAGGTGATGTCAAAGAATGACCATGACAAGCATGCAGTCAATGTAAACAATACAATAATTTGGCAAAATGTACCAATTCCAGACTACAACAGCTATCATTTAATCCAATGTAATCACTCACTTATTTTTAAAAGGTTCAAATATTATCTTAAAATACTTCAATAGCTTCTTAAAAAACAAAAATTATGTTGTGGTTTGAAGGATAAAGCAACATTACATTTTGAACCTGGCGCAAGTGCATTTAGAGATTACAATATTATACAATTTATTCATGTACAATAGTATTTATATGCTCCAAAAATGGATGGATTTCAACATTAGAAAACCACGTTGATATATAAATATAAAAATCATGCATTTCTTTTACAACAAAAAAATAGATTGACTAGAACAGCCTCAGTAACAGTCTCTTCAACATGTAAATATGTAACACTTGCATGGTTTTTCTTCCACATTCTTTCTACTCGGTTCTTCCATTTGAGCCTGGTCAGCCAATTCAAACAATAGTAGAAGTGAAAACGTGTTGTTGCTCTTATGTTAGGCTTAATTGTCCAGGTGGGGAAATGTGTCCTCTGCATTTGACACATCCGGTAATACCACAAGGATAAATGTGACGTGGGGAGAACGTGCAAACTTCACTCAGAAAGGCCCAGTTCTGATCGAGATCCAAACCCAGGACCTTCTTGCTGAGAAGCGAGAGAACTACTGTGCCACTGTGTTTTGTCTTTCTGTAAAAAACACATTTTCTGTTGAACTGAACCTGCATCGACAAAATCCTTGTAACTAATGATTATTTATTGCATTCAAAGTTAGTTCAATACATTTTGAATATTTAGCCTTCATAAAAACAATGCTCCCCATCACTTATTGTCGTATTAAATCCAACATCAACTTCATCAGGCTGACCAGGCTACGCTTAATCCCTGTTTAAGTAACAATAAATCTTATATATTTACTATGGCACAAAAATAACTATTTACAGCAAGATGACGCACTGCAAAAAAGTACAATCGACATCAGCAAAAATTGACAAACAAAATACAGAAATTGTGTTGGACAATTCTTTCAAGATGTGACATGGTTTTCGCATAGTTTATAGATAAACCAATTATAACAGCAGGTATAGGGTGCATTCACCAATTCTGCTTCACTTGGGGCCAAAAGCCTCTCTCAAGAAATGTGTCTCTCAGGAAATATTCTGCATTATTTCTGGTTATTAAAAATGATAACGAGACAATTTACTCTAATGTTTTAGAATGTGAAGTCATATCTTCAGTGGAATTATATGAGCTGAAACAAGTATGAAGGGTAAAAAATGCTTTCCGCCTTTAACTTCCCCTGCTACCACCAGAGGAAGAAATTTGGTCCGAATTGGAAAATAACCAGCTGCAAACGAAACCATGTAATTTTACGTGACCATTTAACGGGCAATACTTTAGCTTGAAGTGTTCTTTATTGTTGTTAACTTTTAACAACAATAAAGAACAATAAAAAATGTACAAAAACCTCTGTGATGTCAAATCATATAGATTTCCTTTTTTGCAGTGCAGCTTTGGCTTTACACAAAATGCGCTTCTCTGTGCTCCAGCTCCGGTAGCTTGCGCGGCCTCAGTCTTTGGTACACATTTTTATTATCAGAGGGACTCATTTCGTCCGGACTGCTGGGAGGAGGGGACTGTGGCGGGGAGAGACTACCCGGGGCATCTATGGCACTGTCCGTGGAATCCTGTGTTTGGATTCTCAAATGGGAACAGCTCATCTCTGTTGGCGAACTTGCTGGCTTGTCTTGGATAGCTTGCGTTGGCGACGTCCCGGCGATTGTAGAAGTTGTAGTTGACGTAACTGTAGTAGTCCAAGTTGGTATTGTCCTTGCACGGCTGCTTATCGCCGAGGGGGGTTTGTAGAACGTCCCCGGTGGAGGTTGGAGAGTCCTTGGCGCTCTTAACGTTAAGGGAACTTTCCATGAACCGCTTGGGTCTGAATTTTCCGTGTCCAGCTCCCTTTTAGTCCAAACCGATTTCAGAGAAGCAGCGTAGGAACTATTTGAGAAAACATTTGTAACAGTGCTTGTAGTGGAAGCAGTTGTAGCTAGCAAATTGGCCTTCACCTGCCCCGGATTGGTAGAGTTTGCAACAATCATAGCAGTTCTTGGTGTGATGTCGTAGTGCTTGTACTTCCGATCCCACGTTCGCCTGTGCATCGCTTGTGTATCGATAAACGGCGTGATGTAATATGTACTCACTCTAGAGGAACCGCTTTGGCACACTTTTTCAGGTTCTGGGATCTCTTGGATAGTTTCCGAAACACAATCCCGGTCAAAGGAGGTTCCATCAACGTTAGCAATGTTGCGATTGTTGCGTTCACTGATTTGAGCTGGATTGGGAAGGCGCTCGAGAGGCATGCTGATCGGACGAGAGAATTGGCGAGTTCGTTGGGCGCGTAGCTGGACTTTCTGGGCGAGGGTGGTGGAGGGAATGGCATTGGAGGAGTTAGCGATGGATCGTCCAAAGACTAAAGAGGATGTTTGTAGGTCCGATGGCGCTGGAGAGGTTGTGACCCCGTTGGTTTTGTCCGGTTTTGAGCCGTCGGTTTGGTCCGTTCCAGGCTGCACCTCGTCCACTTCGTTCAGGATGTGAGACGAGGGGATCACAGACGAGTATCGCTTGAAGACTTTGGCCGTCTGTGAGGGAGCAAAGGTAGAGCAAACGATCAGAAACATGTGAATCACCTAAAAAACTCAATAAAAGAGAGAAAACTTGCAAACTCCACAGAGACAGACCCAGGGATCAAACCAGCAGCCTTCTGGATAGTCATGCCAACCACTGTATTTACAAATCATAAGAATGTGTACACTGCAAAAAGTGATGAAAAATAATTTTAAAAAATGCTCAAATTTGGCAAAACGTATTTTAATATGAGCACATTTTGACTGCCAATGGAACAAATATTGTTTTAAGACAGTCAGAATGTACTCAAATTAAGAAAAGATAAGAAAAAAACCACTTGATCAATTATTACGTCATATTTTATCATATTTTGCAGTGTGGAACGTTCAAAAACCACACTTTATTATAACAGGTCTAACAAGTTTTGGTCCCGTTTCTGTGCGGCCAATACCCAGCTCTAATGAACAATGATGAGAAATGTGCTTGCTTGCTCCACTTTGCAAACCATTCATGTTGGCCAGAAAAACATCAAAAGAGAAAAAAAAAGAAAAAAAGAGGTGCACTGCATCATAATCAATTCTGAATATATTAATCTTATGACTGTTTTGGTTACATCAATCTTGGTTTCAATTTATCATTGGCAGACATCTATATACGTAGCTACTCAGCTCTACTTGGCTCTCTGGTAGGGGAGTGTTTCCACCGCTCCTGTTTAAGCAGTACCAGGTCCTTCTTTAATCTCTCTTGGCGCTGGTTCTACTAATGTGTTTTAACTGACGAGAGTGCTGCTGGAAGCCATCTTTACAAAGAAATTTACAGTGCCAGACAGCCTAATGGTAACCAGGTAGAGCCGAGTAGAGTAGAGTAGAGCTAAGTAGAGCCGATGGAAACAGGGCTTACGATTGTGTTATACGTTTCTGGCCAGAGGAAAGTATGTGCTGATAATCGTACCTCTTTGATGTCCATGAGCGAGGCAGAGTGCCGACTCAGCCTCTGGATCTTCTCCTGAGGGGTGAGTTTGGGAGAGGCCTGGCCCACGCTGCTCAGCTCATAACCGGGCAGAGTTACTGGTTCGAAAACTACGTGAAAGTGCCTGACGAGGAGCTCCACCATCAGGGCCTGGTACGGGTAATCCACCAGAGAGGAGAGAGACACCTCTGCATCGGCCTGGCGTGGTTTGACCAGAGTCGGGCCAAAGATGATGCCCAGGTTACTTGCAGTCATCTTGTTTTCCTCTGCCTGCTCCGTCACTCTGGGGAGATAAACAGATGTATAGTAGTTCATTTGTGACATGTTAATGCCAAATCAACCGACTTGGACTTTGAGCAGCACAGGGACTGGCCTCCTCCTTTTGAGTCAAGACTAAAAATGAGGTGTAAATGTGAGACAGGCTTCTACTCTACAAATCCAAGGTGTTCTGTTGAGATGTGCATCCAACTGAACTGTTGCAGCTTCACTTGTTTTAATAGACTTTGATTATTGTATGATTGTTTCAATCTTGTTTTGCTGAACACTTTGAGTTGCCTAGTGTATGAACCGTGCTAAACAAATACACTTGCTTACCTCATAAATCAATTTTAAAGAATGGTTTTATGAAATGGCAAGCACACAGAGTAACAGAGATGTTACAGCTATACCTATAATGATTTAGACTTACAACATATTTACTCAAAACTGAGGTCCCTGACTTTTCCCACTTAAATAAGGCATATTTGCAGAGAAACTTCTGAAAATAAAATCTTGTGGACAAATGCTGTCTTCATTGTATCAGAAAACATGTTACCATTTGCACACTAGTATGAAAGTGTGAGCCACTACTTTTCTGTTGATCTGAAGCTGTGGCTGATGCCCAAATATGTGAAAAGAGTGACAGAAACAGAGCGAGGAACTAGTTAGATGGATTGTATCATATAGTGATAATACTTCCCATGGTTTAAAAAACAAAAACAAACATTGAGCTATTGGATGTTTCACTTAACTCAGATTTAGTAACATTATTGAAGTGATTGCTTCGGTATAAACTGCTCTTGACCATGAATCCATGAAAGAATTATTATAATAGACAGACGCGACTAAAATAACCTGTTAAAAATAAGTGTCGGACTAAACACAACTTAAAATAGTCCATCTCTCAATTACACTTCCTTAAAGTCAAAGGGAAGTTTCCTCTGTTTCCTCAAAGCTATTGTAGGATTCAGAAACAGACTAGAGTACAATCATACAGATGAAACTCAGAAAATTAGATAATCATTCAAAAGTTCATGTATTTCTGTAATTCAATATATGATAAAGCCTTTGTTTGTTATGATTTTGATGATTAGGCTTACAGTAAGTTATCTGAAAAAAATCTGAAAAAAATATATTATTATGACAGCTGCTTCTCCTCGGTGTTCACACAAACATACATCATACAATGGCAGAATTCCTACTGCACTTTTTTACTATTTGTCCAAAAATGTCCAGCTCTATCTTACAACACATGTAATCTATAATTAGGAACAGTCAATTTGGAGTCTTACTTGTGAAGGTGTGCTATCAGGAACCTCAGGCTCTTGTAGTTGGCTGAAGGCAGTTGTCGGAGGAGGTCTCGTATCTTGAACATGACACGGTTCAGTTCCACACTCGGTGTTTCTTTGGCTGCGGTTTGGTTGCTCTGCCGAAGGTCCGCCTCTTCCACGATCACACGCTGACACTCTTTGGCCAGGCCAATGAAGTCGTTGTAGTATCGGTACAAAATCATCGGCTCTGGTAACTGTAGAAATAAAGTCATGTGGACTGTTAATTCACACATCTTAAATAATAGATGTATTTTAAAATATCACATAAGGACATACACACGGCTCATCTAATGGAGCTGCAACATAGCTACTGGTTGAGGGAGTAAAACAGTATTCATATCTGGTCAGAATTATCATTAACAATTGAAAACTTGTTTGGCAGACATGTGTTAACTGCTTTGTGGCTAAACCCACAGCGCTCCGGTTAGTAGTTACCAAGTAGCTTGTGAGCCTCCAACGTGTCTTCAAACTCTTGAAATTTGGATATATTGTGAAAGAGGGATTTAACTTCCAGAGCTTTAAGCTCTGCTCACAACACAAAAACGATGGTTTAAGTACGTGTACGCACATGTTGGAGAAAAGCGCGAACAAAAATAAAACAACAATGTTTAAATTAATTATGATGTGAAATGTTCATTTGGTTTTAAAATTAACTTGTATTATTGCTTTTTATACTTTATGTATTGTACGTTTGTAATGTGAATTAGTCCCATGTAGAGTGGACGCCAGGAAGGCCACTTCTTATGGGGGAAAGCTAATGGGGATCCAAACAAACAGACAAATACATAAATAACGTGGTCTTGCTATGAAATGGATCATACAGACCCTTAACAGGAAACCCCCAGCATCATACTCTAATCTTCCTCTTGTTTTAACCTCTCAGAAGAAAAAATACATTGCATGTATGATTTACCTGTCGAAGATAGAGTTTGAGGACGTTGCTGATATCATGTGGCGAGAGTTCAGAAAGTTCCACCAAATCTTTGCCATTTTCAAAAGCCTGACAAAGCTTTTCCACACGAGACTTGGCCCCATTCACCCGATAGATTCCCTGCCACAAAAACATTAAAATAAGCAAGTAAAACCAAGTACATTTTTGAGGCTCTTTGAAGGAAAGTTACCTTGATGTTGAGAGCTCGACACTCGATCTCCGAGGTGCACTTCTTGATAATAAATGGGATTCCGTCTGGACAGTTTCTGGAGGCTTGGGTGAAGTCAATACCAAAAAGCTGAAGTCGGCCCTGCAGCTTCTTGTGTCCGCACTGAATGGCCAGCGTCTCCAGGCATTTTTTATGGCAAGCCAACGAGCACTAGAGCGGAAGCAGAGAGATGTCAAACATGGTAAAGTCCACATAATTATATCCTTGTTAATTACACATTCTTATGAAGATGACGCAAAGAGAAAAGACAGTGGTGGCTGCAGCAGTGTTACAATGACATGTTTTCAGTCCGCAGTGTTCATTGTACAGTCAATGGACGAGCAAATACATTCAGTTATTAAAGCGAGCTTCCACCAGCTCGAAGTCTTCATCATATTGTAAGTATGGTTCTTCAAGGTTAGATTGTTACAGTGTTTCTCAAATAGAGGGCCCCGCCCCCATGGGAGCGTGTGACCCTGGGCAACATGCTTTTTTTCCTCCGTACTTGAATAAAATGTGGCATTCTCGTTGTCTACGTTACTGTCTATGGGAGTATTTTTATTATTTTTATTGGTAAAGAGCCCTCCTTCAGTAATAATGTGGCACTATTTGGGGGGAGCGCGCGTAACCTTGGGGAACTTGTAGTTTTTTGCTGAACGTCCTCAAACAGGATTCCACGTCCTCCGGTGCAGCACCGTTCTGATCCCATGAGCAATTGCGGGCGCTTTGTAGTGAATGACAGCGGTTCTCGAGTCCAATACCTGTGAAGCCGCTCAGTTAACAGCACTGCGGCGTGGCCCACGCCGCTAAAGCGAGGCCATAATGTGACCAGAGTGGACAGGACAAGTGCAGATCTTTGCACAACGTCTGGACATGACAAAAATGCAGCTGAAAGAAACACAGCCGGACTATGTGAGCCTCTGGAAGTGTCCATTTCCCACGTGTCTCCTCCTGTAGCCCTGAGACTAAAACTCATTAAATTAAAGCTGGGGTACCTACATTTTGGTAGTGCCCAAAAGTAAAATGAATAACTCAAACAAAACAAGCCACAATAAAAGTCTTGTTTTTATGCTCTTTTTTGTATAATTAAGAAAGAACCCTGTTAGTCAATATTTTAATTTTTGGGCTGAGAGCGGATTTTACGAGCCGATTGAAATATTGAAGGGAGGGGGGGCGCAAAATGTTTTCTTCTACCTAAGGGGGGCCTGGCAGAAAATAATTGAGAAGCACTGGATTATTATGACTCGCTGTACTGTGGTTTGGACCAAGCTCACTTAAACACCTTCAGCGGGTCCAGAATGCTGCTGCTTGCTTTCAGGGACACATAAGAGAGAAAATATCCAAGCTTGTTTTTAAATGTTTTAATAAAAAAATATGACTCTTTCTAGACTCTCTAGTCTCGCTCTGGTGTCCGACCGAGATGGGATCACTGATCACTGAACAGAATAAATGTCAGTTTTTGTTATTATCCTTCCCCTTCACAATATCATCATTGATACTGTCACATCCCAAGTCAACGTAATTTAGGTTGAAGCATGCCATCTTCAAATCACTATCAGAATATCTCTATTCAGTCCCATACCTCTTCACACTCTGCCCCATGGAAGACCACCAGGCTGTCACACTCCCTGCATTTGGAAGGAGCTCGCAGTTTTCTTAACTTATGTGTTTGAGCGGCTTTGGACATCTGGGCATTTCTGAAGGGGCCTGGAGAACTGGCCGTCTCGGTCACCATCTCTGCTAGACCTGGAACACACACACATCATCTTAATATCGGACATTGATTTCAGACCAGCTAAACTCACTTTGATATTTAATGTCTAGGCTTAAAAGTGTATTCAATTTGATGTATTATTGTATAGCTCTAAAGCGCATCAGCTGTAGTCTTTACAGAGAACTTTACAAAGTTGTCGATTCACCAACAACAGATCAGAGAAGTAAACAGTTAAAAATTCAGGTTAAAAACCGTTCTGTTTAGCAGTGCTTACAACTAAATAATTGTAGCTTCCCTTGTTTATTTTATGTAAGGAGATAATTTATTTACAGTCATTATCATGATGCCCTGATAAAAGTGTCAAGCACTTTGGTCTTGTGTGTGAACTGTGCTATGCAAATAAACTGACCTTGTCTTGCTAAAAAAATATAAACAATATTTTTGTAATTTGGGCAGTTCAAAAATATATTTTTTTGACTTTTATTAATAAATTGATTTAATTTTCCAACATAATCAAAACAAAAACCAGGATAACTATTGAGATGTATAGGAACAATAGGTTTCAGAGATTTGTGGTTCTGTGGCTCAGCTTCAGTTTCTTTATTAAACCACTTCTGCATGAAGCTCGCTGATGACAAAAATCCATACCATTGTCAGAGGGAGACGGTGGCTCACGTTCGTCCAGATCGTCGGCTGAAGACATGGTCCCCGTGGATGGAGTCCTGGGAAGGCGCCGTTTAAAATCCCCTGTTGAGAAACATGGGAAAAATATAAGGTAAAGTCCCCGTAGTTACAAATGTGCACCACTTTTAATTTCCCAGTTCAAAGGGGAAGTACTGAAGTGGGCTGAGAGTAATGGGGAAGTAGTGCAAACAACTCAACTGTGATCATTTACTAACTAGCAACACATTATAATAGTGAATAATTGTTTTAAATGGTCACATGTATGGATGGTTCCAAAAAAAAAAAGTACTACATGTTTTCAAAATGTAGTTAATTAATGACAAAGACACGAGGGACACATTTATTGGAATAGATACAGATTTCACATTCAGTATATTTGCCATTTTCAGTTAAGTACCACATAGGAATGTTCATGCAAGTCTGCACAATAGACACACAAAAATAGTATTTCTAAGTCAATGTGTCATGATGTGAGATTATTGAAAAATGTAATTTAATGAAATAAAACGGATAGACAATGTACAGACAGCAAGGGGAAAAGGACAGGGTGTAAATACACAAGAAGACAAAGTTAACTCACATTAGGGTGGGGCTAACAATCAAAGGAGCAAGAAGGAGAGCTCAAAAAGGCAAGACAACCGAAGAAAAAGAAAAAAATCAAGGTTCGAAACAATCAAAGTCCACACCATGACACAATGCTATGAAAAAACATATGTTTTTATTTCATGCACTGGAAAAATAGCCAATAATTCATCAGATGATATTTTATAATAGAAAATGTTTATGAGCGATATATTGATGAGGAGATGTATTAAGACAAACAATCATTTTGAAACAACTTTGGGTCGCTGGTGCAATTACAAAACACCAAGTTTTAAACTGAAATAAAAAAAACAGCTAAATTAAGCAATTAGGCATAAAAGGGATCTATTCGGCTCAAAATGTATAGTATTACTCTGAAAATAGCAAACATCTTCTCACTATAAGAAACTGGACCAAAGAGCCCCAAAATGCAGTAATTTGTTCCGTCTATTACATTTTGAATGATACATTGGCATAGCAATTATTCTGACACACACACACACCAGAAAAATATTAGAAATAAAGTAAAATGACGAAGCGCTGAAGCTCGTACCTGGACTGGCTGTGGGAGAATCCATAGACCGGGACTCACTGCTGCCCCCTGCGCTCTCGGAGTCACTGCACATGCCGCCGTGACTGCCCTGGGACCCCGAAAACCAGGCTCGATGCGGGACCTGGCTCCTTGCAGCTGAACAAAACAACATTTAAGCATCAGTGTGGAGTTAAACAGAGAAATACACACGCAGGAAAGGCAGCTGTCCTTTAAGTCATCATCTGAGACAGTTTCCATGAGTCATACCTTTAGGTAAGTCCCTGTCTTGTCACTTCTGCCACTGTACTAAAGCTGTTTATGAAAAGGACTTGTTTTCATTTGGAATGATCTAAAACTTCAACAGCAATCATGCAAATACTTTTGAAACTTAAAAACAATGTATTTGCTCTTGGAAGTGTCCCACAAAGATAGTAATCCCTGGATCTGGATCAATTAACTTTGTGTGTGCACAAAACATATCGCCTACCGATAGTATGAACATACACATGCACAGATAGAAACATGAGCATTATTTAAGAGTTTTACTGTGTGCTGGTATAGTTACAAATATATTACAACTTTATTTAGAATTTCATTAGCTTGAACTAGAGGGGAAAGGAGAAAAACGTATAGACTACCCTATGTTTGTAAATCAATTGTTAGTAAACTGCTAGTTATACATTACTTATGACTTCCATAATTATGAGCTACTGAGCGATTCTGTCTTAAATAGTTAAATTTTTTTTTTTAGAAGTCATAGTTATTTATTTATAGATATTATCATTTGGTTCTCTGTCACTCACAAAAAATAGGAAAAGCTACTTCTTGTTTTTCAACAGGATTCCTATTCAGAAATGATACAAAACTTAACACATTACACCGTGCATCTGTGTGGCATCATATAGAAATATTCAAATTATTTACAAGCACATTGACACAGGTAACTTTCAAATACCAACAATGATAAATAAAAAAATACTAACAAAATTATCACATTAATGACAGTTGGCAACATGAACACATTTTTTTATGTTGGTATAAAATATATTGTCAGCATAATAGCAGGTTTGCAGACTTCTTGGAGAATATAGTGAGGTATATTTCATGTGTTACCTGTTCGGTGCAGGTCCACGTCGTCTCCGCTCGGGACGTCGCAGGAGGTGATTGAAGCCTGGGACAAGTTTCCATGGGACGAGTGAGTGCTGCCGACCGAGCGCTTATTGAAAATAAACCTATAAACACATCATTTCGACTGTAAGTGGAGAGCAGCAAACCCAGGGATGCATTTATACTTTTATACTGCTGGAGTACTTGATTTTCAAAGCTAAAGATATAATGTTTTTGACCTTTTTTATATATGTGGAGGTCTGATTTGTTTACAACAACATTTTACTTTCTCTTGGGACAAACAGCATGTAATATTTATGGAAAGCAAAAGCAAGGTGGAGGAAGATAATACGTTGACCCTTAGTGGAAAAGTTAGGCATGTTTGTGTTGGTTGGTGCCGCAGTGTAGCCAGGATTGCGGGAAATCAAATTATAATGAACCTCAGCAAGCTTGTGATCTTCTAGGGCATTTTTCCATTTTCTTTTTTGTGTATTATCATCATAAATCATAACAGATTGCCTCAGTGGACTTTTCAAAGTTGTCTATCTGCCACCAACAGATCAGAGAATCAAACAGTTTGAACACAGGATATTCATTAACACAAACATAGGAGCCATTGGTCCATAGGAAGCGAGATGACTGGAGTCCATAAATGTTAATAAATATCCCTTAACAATCAGGATTATCAGCGTCCTTAAACTCTCCTACATCAGCAAGGAGCAACTCAAATTTGTAAATTGTATTTCATTTGTTTATTTGGATGGGTTTTTCACCTGTCCCACAAAAGCATCAGGCTATAACATAGTTTGGTTTTATCAATGCAATCTATATTACATTCAGTGTTCACACTGAATACCTCAGCGCAGGTGGGAAGTCTCTGCTGAGAGCCAACTGATATGATTTCTGACCTTATACACTCATTGGTGAATTGTATTGTATGTACTTTATTTGAACAGGGACAGTGTACAGTTAAGCATTAACACAAAAGGAGAGATGCATGTACCAGGTTATAGCAGAGATGCTAATTTCCACCGCAGAGATGCTAATTTCCACCAAAAATTAATTTGGATGTGAAAAATTCAGAAGCAAGTGAGGTGTAACTCCTCTGCAACTTTATTTTTTAAAATTTAAACATCAGCTTCAGGGCCGTTAAAGGTATAAACTCTGGTGTGGTAAGCATGCATGAAAGTGTAAACACTCTTTACGTGAGTGGGAAGAATGTGACAGACTGACTTCTCTGGACAGTTCAGAACAACCTCAGCCTCTCACGCTCTCAATCTCCTCCACAGCATTCATGTGACCACAGATATTTCCTCAGGAAGGGCCACGAATGCTCTGTGCACCCGGTCCCTCGCTCTCCTCTCCCTCACTTCCTCCTGCTGTTAACTCCACTATAACAAGAACTGCTCCATCCAGGGTGGAGCCAGAGAAATGTTTTGAGTGAGTTTTTTAAGGAGTGTACTATTGTTTCTGTTTAATATATCATCATTTCGCTCGGGGGAGATCTCCACCCTGTCATAACTTAAAGACAACCCTATAGTAAAAGGAATAATTTCCTCCTTATCTTTTTCCACATACCTTATATTTTTTTGTATTTTCAGTACTAATCATGACTATAGAGGTTTTGCACCACCATGTGACCTACATAGCAACCGTCACTAAGCGGCCATGTTAGATGGCAGGTATGAAACTTTATACAGTCAGATTCAACACAGTGGCCGAGAGCGCACCTTTACTTAGACTGATGGGAAACAAAACGCCAAAGTAATCAGCACATATGAACTCCATACACCACTTCATTCAGTTCAGACCAGTTTTATGTTTAAGTCCAGATAAAAGTTGAGTATATGTGTAATCCTCCGTTTACAATGTAGCTTATGTAATCCTCCATTTGGAAATAAGATTCAAAAAGTAAAAAGAACAAATATGGGTGTCCCTCTTGCTTTGCTAGCTCCATGTGGCAGCCCCGACTTTCGGGTCCGAATCGGGTGTGCCAATTTGTTAAATCTCCTTTCTTATCCTTTACTTCCCGTCCGTATCATTCCTATCTCATTGGAAGCATATGATTGGTATAACTAAGTGGCTTTTACATCTTTTCTTACTTAACATGTATTACATGTAAAGTATGTTAGCCAAACCTGTAGCTGCTCTCAGCAGAGGAAGAGTTACCAAAGAGGTTTTCTAGTGGAATTTGAAGAAAAAGCATAAGAAAGTGGATTTCACAAATTGGACGCACCCGAAAGTCGGGGCTGCAGCGTGGAGCTAGCAAAACATGTTTTTATTAGAACAACTAACTTAGGTGAAAATGACAAGAACAGACAAACATGTTATTGATTTCTCCGTTTTGAACTGCATCGTCACAGATGCTAGCTTGCTAACCATTGCTGCAGTCGTTTTTTTGATAGTTTCTTTTCCTTGATGGCGAATTACGGCCGGTATTTTTTTTTAAATAGACATCTTTGTCTCGCTCTGAGCGTTTACCACAATTAAAGACGCAGCAAAACTTTCCCATCAGCCTAAGTAAAGGTGCGCTCTCGGCCACTGTGTTGAATCTGACTGTATAAAGTTTCATACCTGCGATCAAACATGGCCGCTTAGTGACGGTTGCTATGTAGGTCACATGGTGGTGCAAAACCTCTATTAGACTTATTCTCAAGAGAAAATCAGGCAAAAAGTTCCATCTTCACAGAAATACCAAGAGTCTACATCGCATTCAGGCAGACTGAGATTGAACTGGTGGAGACTTCGGGGCAGTGATTGAAAGAAAAAAAAGTTTGTAAAACTTAAGTGAATAGACTTTTGAGAAACTAGAATTGTTGAATCTCCACTGTATAGGTTGGTTATTGATATGGACCGTTGTGTAAACAATTCTCTTAAGCAACTACACATTGAAAAAGTGAAACAAACCAATGCAATGTCCATACAACTAACAAACAATGATATGGTCCCCTACCTGGTGCTGTCTGAAGAGATGGAATCAGAATGCAGACGTTCCTTTGGTAAATTTCGTGGCAGGTTTCGTACAAACTCTGCGTAGCACTCTCCGGGCTCGTACAGTTTTGCAGTGTCGCTCAGAGCCTGGTGGTGAGTGGGCAAAGAGGCGTTTAGAGCCTGCTGCATCTGGAACCAGTTCACCGTCACCTGAGAAAAACAAAGTGCTTCAGTGGAATAATCTATCACATTTGACAATTGTTTCATGAATCTATAGGTTGTGTTCATGCTGTACAAGTCTTTTTTCAGATGGAAGGCAGGTGCCAATTCAAAATATTGATATAAGGAATATTGAGAAAAAAAAAGTGTTTTCTCAGACCCTTTTTGATAGTGATTAGATTCACTAACTCGCCAAATTATCCTTATGCCTGAAAGTCCTTTTTTACTGCATGGAGAACATCATCTAATTTGATCATAGCTCATTTGTACAGACAGAGAAGTTGTCAAACTTTGTGACTTTTTTGTGTGTATTTGTCCAGGAATTATATGAAAACTAAGACACATACCATGTTAACCAGAAAAAAACCTCATGTTAAACGATAGGCTCTTTGAATGATGTCACTTCACATGAACACAATGTCTGATATAGTTTATAAAGTCGGGAATAAAACTCCCAGACACCCACGGCTTTAAGGGTGAGGTCACACTGGAAGACCATCTCTCGGATCTGGGTGAGGATGGTGCTTTTGGCGTTGGACAGGTCCATCTTTCTGACTCCGGATTCTGTCAAACAGCTCTGGTACTGGTCCTGCGCCTCTTCAGCCTGGATTGAATCAAACACAAAGATACTGAAAGTCCACTGTCAAAGTGTATTTTTGAGACTGCACAAGTGAGGGTAAAGATCAGTAATTTACCAATAGCAGTTTTGTGTCTTTTGTAGTTGTACAAATTGCTGCATTTGAATCAGGCTCCAAATTATCTGATGTAATGTCCAGGTTGGGATGGAGTGAGAGATTAGAATGTGTTGGAACTGGTCCTGATGTTTTTTGGATCATGTTTTGCTGATTGACAACTTATATGACTATTCTCCGATTTATAAACTGGATTTAGACTACATTTATAACATGTCTTTAATTTGGTAGAGGTACATTTTGACAGAATTAGTTGGTGGCTCAGTAGAGGCAGTAAATTTCAATGATTCAAATAATATTGCAAATATTTCAATTGCCTCTAGTACCTGGCATGAACATGCATTGGTTTTAGTTGTGGTGCAGCAATGATTTTATCTTTTCTAAGATTTGGACCAATCCAGGTTAAGAACAGGTTCAGGAGGTTCAGTTCTTAAAGACTGTATTCAATATCTTACAGCAGTGCATTTATTATGAAGTCTTGAGATTCATTTATAGCACTGACTCATTGAAATAAATCCATTTAGGTCTGAAGATCCACAAAACCCTGATATGAATAGATTCTTTTCTCTCTGTAGTCATGTGTTTACCTTCTGCAAGGCCTCCTCCTGCAGTCTCCTCTTCTTCTCCAGCTGCTTGTTCCCTGGGTTGGCAATCTCCTCTTGTGAACGGTTGGTGGATGTGTGGGCTTTCTGATACTCCTCCTTCCTCTGGGTCTTCAGCGCTCTGGCCTTACGCAAACTCACATCTGCTTCTTGCTACAAAACAAAACAAACAAACGTCTCAGCTGGTGTGACTGCGGTCTTAGAAATCAGTCATATTGAACAGTAGTCAAGAGCATTAAACATACATTGAATAAACATGTCATTTGTATTTATGTAATCTATTGAACTATGCATCATTGTGCGCTCTGCAGAGGAAGTGATCGGCCGCAGCCTTCCATCGCTGCAAGACCTGTACGTCGCCCGAGCTCGAGGCCGGGCTGGTCGTATCACAGCCGACCCCTCTCACCCTGCACATGGACTATTCCAACCACTCCCCTCAGGCAGGAGACTGTGGTCCATCAGGACAAGAACCTTCCGCCACAAGAACAGTTCCTTCCCCTCTGCTGTTGGACTCTTGAACACTTCTTAACCTGTCCCCCCGCCCTTTATAAAGTCACTTTACTGCCCATCATACGTTACTTTACTTCACTGTACTACTTTACCTTACATTGTGTGCACCATGTGCACTTGAATATTGTAAATAGTAATTGCAACTCTATTTTAAATTTAAATGTATTCCTTAGAAGTGTTTTTTATTCTTTATTTTCTTTATTATCTCTTTCTGAGTTTTGCACTGAGCCAAAGCAATTTCATGTGACTTCCTGTTACTTACTGTACGTGGCAATAAAAAAGATTCTGATTCTGATTCGGGGGTTCTGATCATTGTGTGCATGTGTCATCATATAATAAAAACAAAAAAAGTGGTAGTTTAAGCTAGGGTACTAAATGTTAAACCAAAAGAATAACTATGTAATTAAAGTTGCCATGGGCTCTGTCAGGACACTGGTCGCGTAGTACAGCTCCGGGGACACAGATTCACAGATTAATGCTCGGCTTGGTCAGGGCCGGAGCTGGAGGACTTTGCCTAGTGTACTTGTTTTTAGTGGTAGGGGACACAAGGAGACGAACCAAGAACCTTCTTGCTCGATAATAAAAAGTGACAATAATGTAACAATTTTCTCAAAACAAATGCATGTATAGTTTGGCCCGTCACATCTTTAGATCAGCCAATCATGTTTTCTATTAAGTATGTTAGCATGTTAGGGTCTGATTTGTTTACAAAATGTAAAACAAGACTATTTCCGATAGGACAAATAAAATGTACTAATGAAAATAAAATAAAAGTTCAGTACTCCACCTTTACATGCCTATGTTGGTTTTCTTTTGATCCATTCAACAATGTATATATGTGATATATGTGTGTCTGTCTTTGTCAACACCACAGCACTATATTATCTGACAATTATGAAACGCTTCAGTTGTCCACAGCTAAAGGATATGAACAAAGTCATGCATGAAAATCCTGCTATAGGTTAAATACTTGAACACAATGTTACGTACAAATGTTCATACCGCGGAAGCCCAGTACCTTGTCATTAGTCTAAGACCTAGAACAAAGCAAAAGTACATCTAAAATATTTCAAATACCATTTTTTTCTGCTCCCTCTGCCACTGCTCCTTGATGTCTTTCCTCAACTTGTCCAGTTCATTCTTCCGCGCTTGAAGAGGCTGTTGAAAAACAAAAAACACTATTAGTTAAATATTGAGCAATTGTTGAGGTGGACTTTGAAAAATGAAAATTATTTGCCTGTATGAATTTATTGGACTGGAGTGCCATGGCTGTTTGAATTAGCAGCTGGTTGTATTCAATGTCATTCTTGAATGTCGACGTGTAGATGTCACTAAACGGCATGTAGTCCTGGATGAAATAGAAGTTTAATATTATACAATCATTGAGAAAACAAATGCATAGTTCAGTCAGAATCAGAAATCTTTTCATTGCCTTTGAATTTTGCTTTCCTTTGAATTTTGCTTTGGTAAATGGTGCAAACAAATTTAAAAAAGTAAACAATAGATGCATAAAAAGCATGTATCAAACAAACTTAACACAATTCTATTACATAAATAACAACAGACATATTATGGTGGCGGGTTACCTGCTGACTGGCCAGTGTCTTAGCAGATTCGGCCATTTTTGCATAGTTTTTTGCATATTCAATATCTGGGGAGAAAAATAACATCCAGTAACTGTTGTTATTTAATGAAGGTAAACACATTGAATGTTTTAATCTGTTGAAAAGACCATAGGTTTGCACAATTCCTCTCAATCTGAAATTTCTCTGCTGTGGGACAAATAAAGGATCTCTTAATCTCAATCCAATCAATATTGCAATTTGGTTGGTTGGATGGTTACTGTCAAAACAGCACTTACACGCATGCACTCACACACACACACACACACACACACACACACACACACACACACACACACACACACACATCGGCCATCCCACTCTCTATGGACCATTGGCATGTGTTTGTTATTGCAATTCCTAAGTTAAAATTGATTCTCTGATCTGTTGTTGAGGAATCAAAAGTGACTTTCAAAAGTCAATGTACTCTGAGACTTTGTGCTGTTGTGATTTAGGGCTATGCAAAAATAAATGGAATCTAATTAATTTGTTTGATTAGATAAAGGTTTGCACAAAGTATACAAACACATCAACTGGAAATTGTCCTTTGTTTTTAAAGACTCACCCATGGCCAGACGCTTGTCCATCCAGGCCAGCAGGTCTTTGATGTACTTGGACCAGGTCTTGGCGTAGAGTAAAGCTGACTCCACCCCACTGTCATTCTTTTGTAACCTCAGGTCCACCTCCTCTTCTCTGGACAGGGACACGTCTGGACCTATAAAAAACATTACACATTCTTACACAACATGCCATTACATTGACCAAAGTCCATTTTTCTCCCGGTTCCGACAATCCGACCAAAACACAAACACCTCATCATGGTAACAACAGCAGAGCTCCTCCATCGGATGGAAACATTTCCATAATTTCCACTTGAATCACTCTTTCTTAGACCACACTCTAGTTCCTGTCTACAAACAATAACTAAAAAAGGCTTAGAATTTAGAATTCAAGAATTGAAGGAAGCACGTCATATATAATATCACAACCCAAAAATGTGATGTTGACCATTCAGAGAACAAGAATGAGCATAATTCACAGATTCAACTGTTAATCATGGATTAGGGTTAGGGTTAGGGAATGGACACCATTGTGTGAGGTGTCCATTCTGACCACCTCACAGACTGTTTATGAGTCGGCAGTGAGACAGGCTGCTGACCCAACTCATGTCCTCCACATTCAAAACGAACAATACAATGATGCAGTCTGGAGGAGCTACAGGATCCCTCTGTATAAAAGTAACATACAGAGAATAACTCTTTTGTGCTCAGTCCATATACCTGTTAAACAACATCGAGTAATTTACAGATTGTAGTAGTGATTGTATCGGATGCTAATGACCTTCCTGCTCTAAAACAAAGTCCTTCAAACATACAGATAAACAGCACACATTATTGCATCGCCCACCTCTAATTGCACAATCGCATGTGAAAATAGATTTAAACGTAACTTCCGATGTTACTTTCTCACATTGTCTGTGACAATCATTCCTTGTGTGCCACTTATAATGCCCACTCACGGATACAAGGCAGATCCCCATTAGCCTCATTTTCAGGCAAAATACTCTCGTCACATATTTACACCAACAACACATTTTCTCCAAGTCACATGAAGCTAACACAAAAAGGCCCAGACACGTATTTACTTTACAGTCTATGGACCACACGCTGGACTTGGAGAGAGGCTGCGTGGGCTGACCATAGACGGCGCTGATTCGCTGGTTCAGTTTCTCCCCTCTGTCAATCACCTCTTGGAGGCGGACTTTTGACGTCACGGATTGTGCCATGTCTCAATTTGAAACAAACCGTTTCTGTGCCTCTTGAGAATGAAAGAGAAAGGTCGCTCTCTAAGTAAAGCTTGAGGGAATCAATGAAAAAACTACTCTGGGCATGTGTATGAAGGCCAAATAGCACTGTAAGCATGTTTAAACCAGAGAAAAGTCAAAAAGCATAATATGGCACCTTTAAATAATATTGATTCTGTGCTGTGATGATTTAAGAAATACATCAATGGCAACATTTTCTTTTTGATTGAAAAAAATATTCTTTGGGAGCTTTTCATAGTAAAAACAAGGGACCAAAAATGCAATGTTTAACAAGCAGTGGCATGTGGTTTTGGAACAGAATTGTATAATGCATGAATCTCCCACAGACCTTGTTTGTTTGTGAGTGCATATTGAGTTCAATAGTCTCAAAGGGAAACATTTAGGAAACATTGCGTTATGGGATTTTTGAAACTAGTGCATCTTAAACTCGTAAAACAGTACTATATTCTGTGAAATGGTCATTGCTATTTGAAGCCGTGAAGCTCACACCAGTGAATTAGCAGCCTGGGCATATAGTCATTTAGTTTCATCAAGTCTTATATGATATTGTGATAAAACATCTCACATCTGTCAAACATCTGACTCAACTTAAAGCCCATATGTTTCCCATCGTACAGTGTGCTGCTCCTAAACACAAGAGGAATGCCAGATATGTGACTGGCGCTGGGGAAAATGATCTGCTGCCGTGAAAATACAGCAGAAATAACAGGGATGGAAGGAGAGGGTTTGGGGCGGGTCTGGCTCAGGCATCCAGGAGTGCTAAAGCTGAACCGCAGATAACTCTAAAGCTGACACTACAGACTATGGAGAAACCACAGAATAGGCCACATTAATGTATGTATTATTATCACAGGAGCTTTGAAATGTCCCTACAAATCCAGGTTTATCTCATCTTAGGTAATAGGGTTAGGCATAATAAGTGTCAAACTAACCAAATACGAACCCTTTGTCTGCAAAATAGTTAAAACTTTCTTAGTTGTATGACATTGTTTTGTTGACTTGTTTTAAAGAAGTCAACAATACCCATATCAATACTGATGGAGTAATAAAAAAAAATCATGATGTATTTTTGATACAAAATTTCAATGTTGAATTCATTTTTGTGTTTTTTTTATAAACTGTTGGTATTTTTGATTCTGAAAAAATCATGAGGAGTAAGTTTCAACGGAAGAGCTGTTTTCAGCGGCATCTACCATGACTATTATGTAACTCCTGTCAATAACATGTATTTATAAATTGTAGTTAATGTATACCCAAGAGGAACAAGAGGAAATGACAGCGTTCTGTGGCTTACCTGGGAGCTCGCCTTTCTCACTCTCGTCGCCCTCGGGATCGGCAGCCAGATTGTCAAAAGACTGAAACGACATTTCAAATTATAAGGAGCAAACGGGAGACGGGACTCAAAGAGACATCAGAAGAAGCTGGGGTTTTCAACGCCCCTATTAAATACAAAAAGCAACTCTTTGAGGGTTTCCACTGGAGCCAGGCTAAAAATATGACTTAACTGCACCCCTTTGAAAGGCTTGTGTTCAGATACACAGAGTGACGGAAAGAGAGACGCGCCGAAAAGCTGTGAAGTAACAGCTCACTCACACAATTGCAAAATGGACACATGAAATATGGGCTGAAGAATGTAATAGAAGTAAAAGCATACATTTCCAGATTAACATAACAAAACATACCTAACGTACCTCAATTACAAAACAACGCTTTCACTTTTGGTTAACTTTTAAAATATAATATGTTTAATGAGGAAGTGAGGAGTTTATACACTTTCCGAAACAAACTTTGGGAACTTGTATAATACCTGTTCTCCACTCTGTGTGTGTGTCTGTGTGCGTGTGTTCCTTACTGCATGTGTGAGTGTGTTTGTATGTGCGCGTGTGTGTGTGTGTGTGACAGACACCCTAACAAATTATAGAATGTCAGTCTGGCTGTGAAAAGCCATTTATAAACCTAAAGGTAATAAACTTATTTGAACATGTAGATTGAGTAAAATATGTAATCAAAGTGATTTTTTGACACTAGCAGACAAAAATTAGCTAATTGAATATCTTTAAATATGAATGATTATTCTGTTGGCGACTTCTTGTTAAACTATTTTGAACATCAAAGAAGGCATTATTTACGAGCAAGTAAGTATGGACTGTTTGTGTTAAGCTGTTGTTCTCACCCTGGTTCTCCTGGCCTGGGGGGTCCCCAACCCTGAGCCGCTGTCCACATCTCCCATAAGGAAGTCAGAAACTCTGCAAAAACAATCCGACACACAGCAGTTTTAGGATTTATGAAGCAGAAAGCAAAGCACCATTATCCAAAAAGCAAACACAGGAACAAAGATATGGGCAAACAGTTGACATGGCTTTCCAGGATTTATTGAATGAAGTCACAAGCTAAAAGTAGCATATGGTGATGAAAATAATGTACTCACACATTGCCGAAAGTGAATGCCAACGTGTCAATAGATGCATGTATCTCAGAGAACACAGCTTTTCGGTTTTCTTGGGTCACTTCCTTAAAGTTGATGCCTGTGGAGAGTGATAAACCCAGAACTTTAGAACAGTGAGCTCGTAACTATACGGCTAAAACAACAATAGCTTTGGAAATGCAGTCATTCAGCGTAACAATGGTTGATGTGGAAAATCCAAGTTACAATAGTGAAATAAAAATATAGAGGAACAAAGCAGTTTTTCTAATTTTACTGATGCATTCATTCAAATTTGCAATAAAATGAGAAATGAGAAATAGATCAGCTGCTCTTTAATGTTGACAGGTTTCAGAGAACATGAAGAAACATAAGTGTTAGGTCCACAAATCTCATTTTTGTAGTCAGCTTTTTCTACTTCAATAAAAAAAGAATCCTACAAGCCCAAGAAATAAAAACCAAGAGCCTGAAGTTGGTATTAAGACGCAGACTTGGCAACAATGTAGTCTGCAGCTAATCTCTAGACAAGCTACTTGTAATAATAAGCCAATACTCACTCTGTAAAGTCTGTAACACATGTATACATTGGGGGACCTGCTTGTCTGTATGGATAAGTTATTAATAAGAGTTTCTCAGGATTTGAAATCTGACGCAAATATTTGTCTTTATAAACATACTTTGTGGAATTAAATAATAACAGCCTTTTTTATTTCACTCTAATTCAATATTAGACTAGGGATATATTCTTTATAGGAAGTGCTATTGGTCTAACTATTATTTCAGTTGATTTCACTCAGGGCGGGGCTAAGTAGACTTGCAGAGTGAAGCACAGTTCAAATCAATGGGGTCATTGATATGAAGTAGGACCACATCTGTACTGGCCAAAAGCAAAAAAGGACTTGTATACGCAGATAAAAGACAGCAGAAAAAGAACTTTTCTACATTTTCTTCTTTACTCACTAAACAGGAGCAGTGTGAAAACAACTGGGATTACTGTTTGATATGACTGTTTTTGACATAATTGATTACTGAAAAAAGTGAAAATGTGTAATAAACACCTTATAAGGCTTTTCCGTAATCGGAGGGTGATTGTGATTGGCAACCAATCAATTGGTGCAACTCTATTATTAATCGAATGCTCATTTAGATACAAAAACACAATATTTACTCAAACTATAACGCTACAATGGATTCAGCATATTTTATACATTATTTAGTAGGGGGGGTTGTGAGCTGACTTTGCCCAATGTTTTGGGTACCCCCGAGTTCAAATACCAATATACATCAAGAGTAATTGAATGATAAAATATTACTATTTGAAAATGTTTATAATTATCATGAATATTGATTTTCCAAATATGCAATAGGTCCTATTACTCTCATCTACGTTTTGGTACATTACAAGTTCATCAAAATTATATAACCTTTTTCATTAAGAAAAAATGAGGATTACCACCCACAGGCAGCCAAACAGATCTTAGCCCAAAGCATTATATAAGCCAGGCTCACAATGTTGCAAAAGTTAAAACAAATCTTGTAGTGGGTCTAAATGTCTCACAACATTATTACAATGTGGATTAAACCAAATTGACCAGATTAAATCAATGCAATTGCATGTACAAGAAGTTATTTACAAGCTAATCAACGGAAACATAGACAAATGCGCATAATGAATAAATGCCTTACACTCTGAATAAACAGTGATGTAATAAAAAGCATGAGGAAAATCTTCAAACCAAACAAATAATATCTTCAGGATTAGGTCTGGTCTCTTGAAGCTCCGGATATTGACTGATCAAAGCAAAAATAATCCAGGCATTTCCATGTGTAAACGTGTTGAAATCCTCTCCATAATCTCTTTCATTGTCACTCGTCAGTCGCTCATATCCTTTGCAGCAAGATCTAAAAACTACCACATTTCCGACATTTTAATATTGTTGAAAAGACAAGTTAAGTAGATCAACACTTCGGAAAAAAACATGTCGACAATAAAGTTCCTCTTCTTCAGAAACTGGTGCAGTCAGCAAGAGCCTGCATCTGCAATCTGAGGAACCAAAGTCGCAGCAGTGAATATGGGACTGAGCGGAGTACTTCCTGTCTGTCTGCCACAGGAAACACTTGCGCAGCTTGACTTCAGTGACATGTAACATTCTAACCAAGCATTTAAGACTCACCTCAGCTTCAAAGCACATCTGAACAAAACCAACACTTTCGCAGGCCAGTGCTTGTAGGATTGCGGTCACTTCGTCGTGTGTAAAAGTTCACAGTGAAAAGGGCCAACAATAAAATAACCCACTGTGGTACGAAAAAAGGATCTCTTAATCTGATATCCAGTGTAAGATTTGTGGTATAAAGTCTTTCGAAGTCAAACAAAAAAAAGGCTTCATGCTGGTTAAGTGGATTCTTATTTCCAAAAACTCCTTAAAATCATGTTTAGAACCAAAAACATGGCGTCAAATATTGGTCAGTGATACTGGCAAAAAAGAGAAAATACATCAAATTTGAAAAAAGGTACTCGACCAAATATTTTTTTTACACTCTTGGCCCAAATGGCATTCACTTTCTTCTATGTTAATGAAATCTAAATAATATTTTCATATCCAGAATTAAAATGCTAAAAGACACTTCTCAAAATGAAATGTTTCTTGAAGGCAGCTTTCTAGATTGTGATTGTCTCAGAGAAAAATACAGTATCCCGCATAACAAGGGAAACTTCTTGTAAAAACTTTGCTCAGTCACTTCTTTCCAGATTCCACTGCATTCTTCATACGTTCAGATCAACATCAAACCCAAAATTAATCCAAAACTAAGCCGCGTCCATGTCCAGCTAAGCCGCAACAAGAGGAATAGTTCCACATTGGTCCAAGCCTTTCCCAAAAATGCACCTTCCCAGCGGTGAAAGCCTGCTAGCTGTGAGCGCGCACTTCCTGCTCAGGACATCCTGTAGGTCTCACAACAATGATCCCAGAGCGCGGCCCCTGGACGACTCTGAGGCTGGAAACTGCATCACTGCGCCACAGCAGCCATTGTGTTCTCAGGCGTAACAGAAAAGCCAGGTCGGGATTATCACCTAAAGTATCCCGAAGGAGCTTTGATATGTTTCCCATACCATGAACTTTCCCAAAATAGATCAAGAGAAAGGATGCTGTTTGCTCTGTCATATCTGCATTCAAGGTTCTATTTTCAATGTTTTAATTCATGCATTTTAAGGAAGTCCATTAATGATATAAGCACATATTTCATATATTAAATCCAATGACAATAAATACAAGAAATCCCTTTACAATATTTTAAGAAAGGTACATGAGAGAGGAGAGTTACTATTATCTTCAGAGTTAGTTAGTTTGCAACATACCTTTTTGGCCAGATCTTTACAAAAATGTTCAGTACAGTTTGGAAATGACAAGAAACAAGCGATAACATATGATCCAAATCACTGTCTGGATATAGGAATTGTGATGTAATATTTTCCATCCAAATCTCTTCAGCCAGTGTGGGAGAGGCCACGAGTAGTTTGTGAGTGGAGCGTGAATCAATATGTCCATTTCATGCTTCATTTAAAATCTCAGAACAGCCCAAAACCAGTCAAAACAGTTTTACACTCGGGGTGTCGGAAATAAATCGGTCCTCTTTCTAGAATGAGTTTGAACACCGCTGTCATAAAAGTAACAAGTACACTTCCTTGAGTCTTGTGAGACGCACCTTTCCTCATGAGTGAAGTGTGGTCACATCAAAGGCACACTCCACCGCAGATCAAAGCAGTAATCAAAGTAAGTAAAAACAGTGGGCTTGTCGAGAATAGCTCTGATAACAACTTTGAGTGTGTACATAATATGACACCCAACTATAACATTGTCAGAAGCTGTTAAAAGTCCCCTATAAACATTGCCGTTCGGAAGCAGCAACACAACATCAAGACAACGTTTAAGATTGGTAAACAATTATTTAAGCATTAATACGTCGAGGTGAGCACAATGGGGTTGTGGAAAGAATGTGCGTATCAGATCTGACACGCAAACTGTCAGCATGTGTGAGAGGTCTGTCAGGGGAGTGAGAGAAAACATTATGAGGTCCCGGAGTAGAACATCGACAGGTGTTTCAACATTGAAATCTGCTCGACTTGATTTGAAATGATGACAGTGTGATGGCAGTGGAATATCTAAATGGTTAAGTGTGCATGTGAGGATGCCAGGAAATGTAATTATGTTTGCACACTTCTGTCTTTTGCACAAATCTTGAGTGATTCTATCCATGCCATGTGTGACATGTACATTCCTCCTGTGTGGGATCAAGTAAGTCTATCTTATCTTATCTTATTCTAAGAGGTTCAATTGATTTATGAACGAAAATGTATACAATAAATTAATAATGCATAGTTAATTTGTATAGCACTTCTTTGGACAGAGACAGTTCACATGGCATTATTCATCCACTCCATACACCGTGGTTCTAAAGTAATACTGTAGCCACATCTACCCTGGGACAGAATGACAGAAGCAAGCCACTTTTGCACCTGATACAAACTTCCCATGAAGTATTTATCATCAAGTGTAACTTATCTTTACCATTCTCTAAAGCTGTTTTGGCATGACATCTATCTGAAAGCTTTTATTAAGTTTGTTGTCTACTGTGGATGGGTGATTTGTTAATGAGGGTTACTTAAAACAATACAAAAATAACCAGTTATTTATTGTAGTAATTAAAAAGTATTTCTCAAATAACGTTATGATTATTTTTTATATATATATATTTTTAAGCAAGTTATTATAATGATGATAATAAATAAATGCATGTAGATAATAAATATGTGGAGGAATATGTGGAGGAAGAAGACAAATCTAATTTTTCTCAACAATACATAGGTTAAAAGAAATGTTTACAGGCTGATGATTGGGTTCTAAAAGGCAATGGCAAAAATATTGTCCATGTTTTCATTCTGCTTTATTTAGCAAACATAGAGTGAGTGTATGAATAATAACATTTGCTTTTGTCAGGGAAGCCAATGACTGTTTTGTTTTATTGTGGTAATTGCACATTGCACATAGCTGAATTTGTACGTGCCGTCTGCATTTGAAAACCTGTTCTATGGCCATGTGTTTTGGAGGCTGAGGAGGCGGCATGTCTTCACTCCGGTCTGGCAGGAGTCCAACCATCCCAGGTGCCAAAAAGCTTCAAAGAGCAGGTGAGCGAGGAGACAAGCTGACGTCCTCCAAACATCTTTGTTATCAATCCCTCTGTGCGTCCTGATCACTGACAGTGATAACGTACTGATTCATGCATCACAATTCAATATAGTGAGTATAGTAGCATGACAAGAAGGTAAATCACAATTACTGACAATGACAATGTACTCACCATCCTCTCTGGTTGTGTACTGTATAAATGTGTATTTTCATGTACATGTAATATCCATCCATCCATCCATTTTCTACCCTTTAATCCATTTCTGGGTCAGGGGGGTGGCAGTCAGAGATGCCACCCAAGTCTCATAGCACCAGCCCCTCACTGACCCTCTGCAGGTGGTGAGTCCACAGGAGGACGGCTGCTCTCTGAGTGTGAGCACAGCCTTGATCTTTCAGTGGGGGCTTCTACATGTAATATAGATTCATATATTCAAGTATATTTCTTGTAATTAACTTTTAATTATATACGAGGTTAATGAGAATTCATGGGACAAAGGGGAGGAAACATGCCCCCTTGTGGTCAGAAAACTTCCAACAATTACAATGTCAATGTGTTTCAAACCCAAGCTCTGAAAAAGATATGCTTTATTGTAAACTGTATACAGTGCTTGATTAAGAAACCAAAGTAGTAGTATTGCTTTCTGAGCTCCTGAATCAAGGACATTTTAAATACAGCAACCTATTTTTTTCTGAATACATTTATGTAGATTTTTATGTAGATTTTTATTCATGCATGCCTTTGATTTTATTCTGCTTAACTTGTTTGCACCAAGAGCCAAAGCAAGCTAGTTTGTGACTTCCTGTTACTCACATGGCAATAAAAGGATTCTGATTCTGATTCTTTGTACCCATATCTTGTATTGAATTGTCATCGATCTCTTACACAATATGAGAGAAAAATATATAACATATTTGCAGCTTTATCATTCACATTTCCTGGTTTGAAATTGCTGAAGGATAACAATGCTGGCTACAAATAAATGACGGCCTGATGGTCATGATAATGTTTAAACGTATGACAAAGTTTTCCTCAAAAAATCCACTCCAATAAACAACAAGATTTCAAGCAGGAAAGACAATGAGTTGCAGACAGTGAATATTGGGTTTTTGCACATGTGTAACCGAGCCATAATGTACTTTGACAGACAACTAAAAACATGTTATATAAGGCCGAGTTTCTTTGAGTAAAACAAAAATATTTGTCAAAAAGTCATTTGAAAAATCTGTGGCCTGAAGTTAACCCGGATCAGAACCATATTTGGTACGTTGTTTTCAGGTGAGCAAGCACAATGTCAAGACATTGTTTTGAAATTACAAGGACATTTGTATTATGACAAATGATTGTGCGATAACCCGAAATATAGACTTTTAGCATGACGCACGTACCTGTCTGCATCTTATCATTTTCTATGTTGCTGCTTCAAAACAACAAACTTGGCTTAAACTGGACGCTCCTATTGTTTTCTCTACATTCTTTTCATTCAAGACGCCTCCGCAGTTAAGGTGATGATGCAGTTGTGCATAGTTAAGAAATGGGTCACGACTTTGGTATACGGAGTAGTCTTTGTGACACAAGAAGAAATTGAATATACATAGAAAATATGAACGCGTTTGTCTCTTGTTCTTTTCTCTCCGTCTGCCAGGGCCTCCTCCATTGTGGCTGCAGCGTGGAATGTAAATTATGGCCTCATGTATGTAGCCTCCACTGGCTGTTCAAATTCTTTTTGTGCAAGAGTAGAAGCAAAAGATTCAGTTCTGCCACGGACCACGTATCCAGCAGATGTGAGCTGGGTGATAGTTTGTTTGTTCCAAAGAGGGTAAAGGAATATTTCTGTGCGTGTGGATGAAATTATGCTGTAGGAGTTGTGGGAGTTATGGAGTACAAGGGCACGTTTCAAAGTTCAAATCTCACACTTGTAAAACACTGTCAATTTTGCATCATATTTCTCCCTCTCACATAAACATACTGTAGAGGTTTACACATACCATTTACACATATTTTAATAAGCTTTTATTCATTTCAATTAGTCGACACCAACATCATAGATCATCAAGATTTTAATGGGTTTTTAAAAGCTTGAAATTATACTTTCTGCTAACCCCTGCCCACAAACAAACACACACACACAAAACACACACACAGATGACAGCCGCATTTTGTTGCATTTACCGTTTTCCAAAGAACGGTTTTTCTTTCGCAAACTTGGATTGTCAAGGTTCTCACTGTGATTTTTTTGGTGCCAGCAGTGACACAGCTTTCAGTCAAAATACAATAAAAAATGAAAGGGAACGCAAAGGAGTCTTGATATGATAGTTTTGAGTTGATTCATAGAAAAGTGACCGATTGTGTAAATCCAGAAAAAAACAGCAAAAAATCCGGTGCTGGCAAGAACGTCTTAGGCGTGTAAACATGGACATTTCTGGGCAGTGGTCATGCTGCTACCTATGGTTTGTCATTATTGCACTTCCAGTGTTGGACCGGTTTGATTTTCTGCTCTGTGGTTTGTGAATCAACAGCTTTGTAAAGTGACTCCTGTTGTGATTTAGGGCTATATAAAAATATATGGAATTGAATTGAAGCCGAGAATAGCATTTTTGACAAATTACGCAGCACGTAGTGTAATGTTGACACGTAAAACATAGTCTATGCTGTGGTCCGAGGGTCACAGCATCACAGTCCGTGTACACCTGGCGCACTGCAGGTTTGTCGATGTGTTTGAAATTAATGAAACTATAATTTGGGTCATTTGTCGCACTGACATTTTGTGCTGGCATCTACAAGGCCAGAATGTGAATTTATTTGGGCGCACGGGATACAAAGAATTTACAACTTGGATCAATTAAATGTAGCTGGAGGCTGGTTCTCAAACAGGTTCTCAGAGACAGATTTAGTGTTAAGACAAACAGGCAGCATCTGTGTTCGACGTGGGCTGACATGTAATTGTTGCTCCACAGATGTCGGAGAGGTGTTTTGTCATCACAATGCGCAAACGAAATCCACGTCCCAAAAAACTGATCTTACAGAGCCCAAAAGGAGAGTATGCTGTGACTTATTTTCTTAATGTAGGACTCAGCAAGTCTTTGCTTCAGTCCTTTAGGTCAGGATTTTACAACCTTGCATACAATACCATGCCATCAATTGAAATCCCCCCCTTTTGTGTAAAATTAATGTTAACATTAGATGGATGGATATTTCAGGGTTGTGTTTAAGAGCACATAAACACCAAAAGTCCCTTTTAGAGGAGTCAACCAATGTTCAAGTACTAATTAGTTATACACCATATAACATTTGCAGTTTTGATATAAAGAAACAATAACATGCATTCTAGAGGAACGAAAATAAAAATAAAATAAGAATAATAAAAAATACCTTCTTTTTTTGGTGATTGTTTGAACTCAGGATGGCCAATTAATCAAATCATTCAAATATTACTTCTTTTTGGAAAAAATAATCATGTCAAAAAAGTGACTTTTCGTCTTTGAGAATTTCACCATCAGGGCAGTTCATCAAGAGCAGCAAAAAATACTTACATTGCAGATCTCAGAGCAACAATTACAGCGCAATTCCTTTGGAATTTTAAATCTGAATATTTATCTTCTTTTATTAATCAGTGTCCTTTGGTGACTATTTACAAGGATTCAAAATTATTCTTGTCCAAAGGGGGGAATAAAATTCCAATACAATTTGATGTCAGTTACAGGACACCTTGTAAAGTGTCCTTCTCCACCCAACGGCTACTCCACCACTGCTGCTGTGACCAAAGGTGCTGTTGCATTGTATTACTATTGTTAGCTTCTTTTAGAATGATTAATTTATTTGTTTTGTTTGTATGGATGGATGTGCGTCTGCTGCTACTGGACATCGGAATTTCTCCTATGGGGATCAATATTGCATTTTTCTTTCTATCTATCTATTCATTTTGTATAACCCAAGATCACATCAGCAGTCATGTCAGAGGACTTTACAAATGTCTTGATTCACCAACAGCGGATCCGAGATAATCAACGTATAGCTTTTTCCCCATTATGTCCAGCCTTTGTTTGAACCAAAAAGCTCTCACCTTTGACTTTGGCGATGACTGTGCCGGCCGCCCCCAGGATGTCCACAGAGTTGAGTGTCGGGTGTTTCCCGATCACAGCTTTCAAGACACGGAGCAGCTCAGACAGCCGCTCCTGAACCACGCTCTGGAGGTCGTCAAGGAGATCTGGACAAAATAAACAAACAAATAATACTCAATAGATGAAAAGAGGAAAAACATTTAAATAAAAATCCTTTATTGTACAGGGACATGCTCAATGTTTAGTATGACAATTTTGTAACAGCCAAGACGTGTCTGAAGAACAGCCTGAGATGTGGCCTAGACTAAGAGAAAGTGGACTAAACATTGGTCGTTGCTCAAGTATTTGTCAGACATGTATTATAGAACTGTCTTATCTCATCTTAACTTCAAAAGGCATTATACTCTAGACTCTTCAACTGATGGTTTACAGCTTCCTTTGAAAACATTTTTGAGGACTTTCGGCAGCTCGCTTCAGTCATCACCGTGTGTGGAGTGAATAGAATGTGAAATATTGGTACTCCTATAAATTGTAAAGCGCTTTGGGTGACCTTGGTTTGTGAAATGAGCTACATAAATAAAGATTAGTTACTTATATACAGTGCTTTCCTTTACAAATATCTATAGCCATAATCCAAACTTTTCTTTAGGATGCAACCCATAGTTAGCAGCGCAATAAAATAAAATGTGTAGAGTGTTGTATTGTGTTGCTTAAATGAAAAAAGTGTGACAGACAATGTTTCTCTTCCATTCAATCTGGGTTCTAAACTAAAGGAAAACCTCCTTTTAAATCTGTGCTGTCAACTGGGGCTGTGCCATTTATCATGTTGGATTTGTACTAAATTTAATTATAAAACTAATTACATTCTGTTCTGGAGCAAACACCTCTCTGTCACACACTAAATAGAAAAATATGGTCTATAGTTTGTTTGACTGTATGTACGTAACTGTTTGAAAACAAAATAGTTTAAATTAGGGCTGGGTATCTTTCGAAACCTGCTGATATGATGCACAGGACTCTTTACAATACATCATCTAAATACAGGGTGATTTCAATTTGATTTTTATTTGATATGACTAATTTCTAAACAATATTATTTACTAAGAATGCTTATCTCCCCCTCGGCCAATTTTGAACAAAAACATAGTATTAATGCATTTATTGTTTGTTATTAAAGTCAAAATATCCGAACATAATTGATATATATATTCAAATTTGTAATTACTGTAAAATTAAACTTTGAAAAATATCTGAAATTATGAACAAGAACAGATACAAGGAGCACTGAGGTTCAGTGTCTCAAAAATCATGTGGTGAACAAAATACAATGCAGAAAGGAAAAACCTTGAATAGTAATCAAAAATGTAACAAGCATGACGTTTCCACACATTTTCAGAAAATTGATTTGTGACTCTAAAACTGCATGTAACACTGATTCCGTTTCATGTTTGTGTTCTCTTTTGGGTTTGTCACAAATTTTACTGAAATGTCGTAGTTATCTTCATAATCCAGTTGATCCCTAACATCAGACACAGATGGCCATTTATCGCTCTTTTCGGCTTATCTTCAAACAAAATATGCAATGAATATCTATACTAAATATGCAACTAATGGTTTTAGTTGAATGACATTATGCAATTTACAGGGTGGTTACAGATACAATACAAGAAATAGGCAAAGAAAAGGAATGTTTTGTCCGTCTTTTGTCTGCGTTACTAACTTCACAATCACATGTTTCTATCTATTACTCAAAGTCGAAACTTTTGTCATTTTGTCTTCCACAGGTCACTAGTGTCGTGTTGTAAATCCTCCTGTTCTTTCACAGTGCTCTGCTTCGTTGGAGCCATGTCATTTCCCAACTCTGTAATGAAACTGATTGGCCTGAGGGTGCACCGCGGCGTTCAGACAGTTGGGTTTCGGAGCCGGTGAAAGAAATCAGCTGATAGAGCAGGAAGAAGTGACGTGGTGATGCAACTTCCTGTTCAATGGAGATCAGTGAATCTGCAAAGACAGGTAGCGCCTTGTGGTTTGTCTCACAACACGCCCAAAAATAACTGTCGTATTAGGAAAGGCTCAAGTGCTTCAGTTTGGTATTGTGCGCCAAAATAGAGTATCAGGAAATAAAGAAACTCTATAGCAAGGGCATGTAGGCTATTGTTAACACACAAATCCACAATACGCATTGAAAATATTAAGCGGGAACTATGGCGTCAAAATAGGGTCTGCTTAAACGTAACCGTAAAGCAGGAATTGTAAACGTAGGTTGTAAGTATTGTAAACATTAAAAAATATTGTAAACAAAAAAACTGTAGCGTAACCGTAAAGCAGGAATTGTAATCGTAGGTTGTAAGTATTGTAAACATTAAAAATATATTGTAAATGAAAAAATTTAAAACTTACATTTACGGTTCTGATTTTTCATGTTTCGCTTCAAAAGTTACGTTTACAATTCACAAGTTATGTTTACGATTCACAAGCTACGCTTACGGGTCAAAACTTACGGTTACGATACATTTTTCATCTGACCCCTTTTTGGAGGGGCGGGCTCAGCGCGCCCATTGGCTGGAGACACCGGATGTCACAAAAGCAAAACACACGCACGTTGCTACAATCTTTACAGTCTGGTTACTACAGAAGACGAAGAACAGGCTTCAGGCCAGCTCACTTATAGCGCCGCTATAACAAACAGCTGACGTTGCTAAAATGCTAACATTAGCTGTTTTGCTAAATGTTAGCTAGGGAGGCTCCTTCGTTTTAGTCTGAGGAGAAACAGTCTTCAAATAACTAACTAAACAGTTGTTCATAAGTGAGCCTGTGTAGCCTTCTAGTCACAACAATACTGATACTGTGAGTGGATGAAGAGCACACCAATATTTTAGAGCTAAAATCACAAACTTGTCTTTTTACCATTCATACAAAGACAACTGGAGAACAAAAGTTTTCAACCTGTATACCACTCAAAATGTAGTAACTACTTATTAATGTGGCTTTTTCCCTTTATCAGGAGAACTGCACCTTGCATCTGAGGAGGGGACTGCTGAGCTGAATGCATGGATAGACGTGAAGTGGATGTGTTTTATTTTGTGCAGAGCTACTAGTAAATGTCATTCAGTGGTCCTCCTTGTGTCCTGCTCCTTCTTCAGACAGCGCAGAACATAAAACATAACGCAGATTACACTAATAAAGGGGTTAATGGGTGTGCACCAGGTTAAGACTGTAATTGAACATTAAAAGCAAGTTACATGTCCATACCCTGCCATACAGGAAAAGTTCAGGGTAAGGATGTACCCCAAGTCTTTGTAGACGTACACCCAGGCATAATAAGGCTTTGACTTAATGCCCACTCTCTGACTGTGGAGCACATCAGCCTCAAAACATAGAACTCAGTCCCAGAGTGGAAGTATTTCACATTCTTCACATGTCCACATAACTATGTATTTATAGATGTATATGCTTTTGGGGTTTTTTTTTATAATTTGTTTTCTCGACACTCACGGTTGCCTTACAACCAAGTAAAAAAAGTGTATTTTAAAAACAGTTAAAAGCATCATGGAGAGAGGAGTGTGGTTATGATGTTATTGAGTTGGCTTGTCTGAACAGATGAGTTTTGAGGGTGGATTTGGAGAGGCTCTATTCAACATGGTGACAAGGTGGGCAGGAGGGACCAAGAGCTGGAGGGGATAGGAGGAGCGGAGGGAGCGGGCAGGTGTGGAGATCTGGAGGAGTTCAGTCAGGTATAAACACTGTATGTCTGGATGAGAAAGTTATAGATATTAGGCCAGGTAACAGACAGCCATTTACTCCTATCTACAACCCACTGTTCTGTGAGAATAGTGCTATTATATGTTTATTTGATAGGCACAGAACTAAAAGTATTGATACAGGTGGCCGATACCATGTTCATAGGCTGTATAGCTAGCACTTAATTTGCAGACATGGTCCCTAAGACATGAAAATACATCACATGTACATAGATTATTATAAAACCACAGTTTTACATCTTGCTGGTCTGCAATGTGTGGTGCTGGTGCCCATCGCAGAGATAACCTGCAAGATCAGAACTATACAGAGTTTCTGTGTGATTTTAGGGATGTTAGCCATCCTAAATTAGCAAACACAGTACAGGTACAGTAGCCAAATATCGTACAATTAATGGCCTTAACAGGTTAGCCCCAATTTGAGCTACTTAACTTTAAGTTAATTTTGATAAGATATCATGAAGCCAATGAAACGTACTATTTAGCAAGTTTCACAGATTTGTTTAATCATTCAGCTAGTTACCTCATTTGTTTCAAAACTTTATGTACAGGTTATGGACTGACAAGATTCATTGCTAGCTAGCATGGGCTCATTAGGTAAGCCGCTATAATTATGTAAATAATAAGCAAACAAAAAATCAAAGACATAGTTTTATTCACCTTTGATAGCAGTAGATAATCCTGACCTGACAAAGCATTCAGTGTGAACAACGTACAGTGGTGATGAAGGTCCCGAGATGTAGCTTAGCTGGCTAGCCTTGGGGCAACATAGGCATATGACGTTATTACGAGAGCATATTTCACACGATCTAAACATGACCTGGTGTAATTAGGGTGTCCACAAGAGTGCACATACCACGTCAAAGCCTATAATAGCCAGCCCAGTTGAAAAATGTGATCAATCATACAATGTAGAGAGTTCGAACGAGACTTGAATTTTGAATGGTGTGTGTTTTGCTTTTGTGATGACGTAACATCCGGTGTCTCCAGCCAATGGGCGCGCTGAGCCCGCCCCTCCAAAAAGGGGTCAGATGAAAAATGTATCGTAACCGTAAGTTTTGACCCGTAAGCGTAGCTTGTGAATCGTAAACATAACTTGTGAATCGTAAACATAACTTTTGAAGCGAAACATGAAATCAGAACCGTAAATGTAAGTTTTACATTTTTTAATTTAGAATATATTTTTAATGTTTACAATACTTACAACCTACGTTTACAATTCCTGCTTTACGGTTACGTTTAAGCAGACCCTATTTTGACGCCATAGGGAACATGTTATTGCGTACAATGTAATGTAATATGAATTTAAATACTATTGAATAGATATTTATGTTTGTATTTATCTTATGTGGGCTGAACAGTTACATTGAACAGACCAGACACACTGT